TTCCCAAAACGAGAAAAGAATCGAAATTATATGTTTCGTCTCTAATGACAATAACCCAAAACCCTAAACTAAAGTATAGGCTCCATACGAGCGGAATGGTAGTTCTGAAAAAATAGCTAACGTGGGATTTGAGCGAACAGAAAGGGACGGTCTAAAGAATCATCCCTTTTGCAATCTCAAAGTTTACGATCACCAAACATTTTTCGAACTTCCAATACCTGATGTCGCTTCGGAAGCAAGCACAACATTTATACCAATCATTATTTCTTTTCTTTTACTTATTTTTTTCGAGAATAGATAAAGGATCCTTGTTTGATCATTGATATTTTCGATCAAAATTATTTGTTAAAACTAACTTTCTTTGATAAAATGAGTGGATTTCATTAGTAAATCCTATAAATCTCAAGATTAAAATTTTTCTCAAAGTGATTTCAAGAGAACTTTTGATACACCTTTTTTTGGTTTTTTTTTTTTTTCATTACTTAGAGTCAAAATAAAAGTGACGATCATGCTTTATCCAATCAAAATTTTGAAAATATTAGAATCAAATGATGACGGGGGATCCCTTTGATATGCTGGATCAACAATCATTAATGCTGCTAGCTGTTTCCCTTAACAGTTAGTCTGTTGTTAAGGATGTGCTAAATCATTGTTTAATTATTTGTTTAAGCAAATGCTGAAAAAAATATTTATTTCAGAATTAAGATGGTTATTTATTTATTTAATATTCTTGGTTTAAGAAAAGACACAAGCAAGCACGATCTCCATATCCTTGTAAATGGAAGAATTTTGTAGAAAAATATTGCAAGAATGCTTCCTTGACAAGCACCACAGCTGCTTTAATCATGTGCTTATTAGTTTTATCTACCGGTAATTAAGTCACTCAATCATTTTTTTTATTCGCTTGTATATAATATTTTTCGATCAGTTTATACATTAATTAATTGAGATTTTTTTTTAAATAATCTCAAAAATATAATTTTTATATTAATCGGGTGCAATTACAAAAAATTAAATACTGATTTTAAAATTCAAACTCAAAAAAAAAAAAAAAAAAAAAAAAAAGAGTGCACCTCCTTTATTAACCGGTAAACCCATTAAATTTAATCACTCATAATTCTAAAAATATTGCTTTCTTTTGTTGTTTCTGATTTTAAAAATACTACATGATACAAAAATAGATATAATCTAACGATTATGTATTGGATAATTTTTTTTAATAAAATAAATTCAAATTTTAATGATTTCAATTTATTTAATTATTATATAATAAAAAATAAATATTCAGATCCTTCGTTGTGTAATTCAAAACCTACAAATCCACACAAAAAAATAGTACATGATTGAAGTTTCATTTGGTTAATTATATTCCATATAAAAACAATATTATTGCACCTTCTTGGTAGCTAATGGAGTCTGCAATTCTAAAAGCAAGAACTCTCCCACATATTCTGCTGTTATTTTTTTTAATGCAATCAAACACATGATAGGAGCATTGGAGGTGCAGTCATGGTGTCTAAGTTGGAGGTGGATATGTAACCCTCATTAGAAAATGTTGTGACCCATCACCAAATCAAATAATGGATTGTCAATCAGGTCATGTGCATCCCTTTCCTTTTAAATATTTTTTTATTTTCCCATTATCTGATACTAAAGCAATTCCATATGCTTTTTCTTTTTCTTTCTTTCTTTTTTTAAATAACCTTTTGGATTAAATTTTAAAAAATAAAAATTTGTTTTTTTCTATCGATTGTGGTGGTGGGGAATCCAAGTTTTCGGCTCGACTGGTCCATAACAATCAGGGATGAGTTTTGTTAGAGGTGGCTCGAGCTTCCCTTTGAAAAGTTTCTAGAAAACCTTCTTCAATATATATATATATATATATATATATATATATATTATGGTTTTTTCACCAAATCTCTCCTTCCCAAAAAGGAAAAAAAAAATCAAAATCATATATGTTTCAGCTATTATTTTATGATTTGATCTACTGCATTAGCATCAAATTAACCACACTTGGGAAACAAAACGATTTCTTAAAAATAATATATAGTAATAATTTATTTATAGTAGTCATAAATTCTCAAAGCATAAACTTAAAGATTAATTGAGTGTCCTGCTTCGGAAGTTGATAAATCAGGAAGTGGATTGTGTATGCTATGGTCATTGTCGCAGCCAAGATTGCTGTTTGGTCACGCTTGCCTGATGTGTATCATCCTACAATTTTAGGTTTAGCACGCAAGTGTTGATTGTCATTTTCATGGTTGCTATAGATGTTGTAGTGTGGGTTTATATTCTCTGAGTAAAATGATTGATTAGAGAAAATAATGGAGTCTTGATATAAGGAAAAAAAACTACTAAATAAATTGCTGACTTTGATCTATTTGTCCATAGGATATTGGTACAACAAATTATCATGGATTTGATTGATTTGGATGGAATCAATCACATTTGTTCAAGATTGAATTTATGATGAAGGGATGCTTCACAGTTGTGGTGGTGTGATTCTGATTAGAAGTTTGTGTGTAATGTGCTTATTGATGTAAATAAAATTAGACTAAAAGTACTATAAAATAATAATAATAATAAAAAGCTCCCCAGTCTCCCCTCCCTGATGAAAAAAAGAAGAAGTTAATCTTACAAGATAATGCTAATTTTGATGAAAAGTTTTAATATTTGGATTATGGGATTCTTTGGTGATATCAATTATGCATAACTATTTTTTAAACAAATATTATGCAAGAATATTCAGTCAAATTAAATGAAAGTTTAAAATATTTATGAAATAACTAACAATATTTATTACACGAGTCTATTTTAAGAAAACAGAAAAATATTCAATGAGATTAAATTATTAAATTTTTTTAAAATATATAAGAAATAACTAATAATAGTTATTCTATGAACTCATTTAAAAAAAAACATAGATAAAAATAAATAAATCAGAATCATAAAAATGAAAAAAATATTTCCACTTAAAACTTATTTATTTTTTTTCTTTTGTTTTTAGAGTATATCTCTTTTTTATGAAATAAGTGTTACATTAGTCATCAATTTAAGCAATTTTTAGTAATTTTTAGTAACTTATTTATTAATGAAAACCAACATATCAATTTAAGCAATTTTTTTTTTATGAAAAGAGAGAGGAAAGAACCTTATTTAATTTCTTAAACAAACGCTCAATTATTTAAGCTAACATTTATATATTAGATGTTCACAATTTTCATTAAATTCAAGTATTTAAAATATTATCCACTAACAAGGATCAAAGTTTTCCTAATAACAAAATCAAAATAAAGTAAATTTTTAGTACAAAACTCAAAAAGACATAATAATGCGAAGAACACAACTTTTTATGTGTTATTCCTTGTTCCAAAATTATAGTGTCTCCTAGCTTCTCTATTTATTAATTCAAATCACATCCAAAAAGAAAAATTGACAAAAATTAAACGAGTTTAAAATGTTTTATCATGAACTTGATTTTTTCTCAAATTTTTGCATATTTTTATCGAACCTTAAATAAAACATTCAAAATATGATTAGTTCACTCACTATTTTTTTTTATGTATAAATATACTTATTTATTCTTATATAATACTTGAAGTCTCTCATCTCTCTTAGATTTTCAATTACATCCTATTTATCTTTGAAATTTTTTCAAATGTTCGATATATCTTTACGATTAAATTTTTTGACTATATAAAACATTTTTGACTGAAATATCCTTTATTAAAAGGCAAAAATAAAAAAATAAAAAACATTTAAAGTCATATGACCCATATATTTTATTTTTTAAATCTTTAGAATTTTCTTTTATTTTTTATTTTAATAAAAAATATTTCGGTCAAAAAAATTATTTGATTTGCAAAATTGATAGGAACGACAGATTGAATATTTTAACAATTTTAAAAAATAGATATAATGCGATTAAAAATCTAAGAGACTTTTATATATATATATATTGAAAAAATAATAAAAAACCGAGCCCACTTGCAATTATTTGTACTCACCTAATTTAAAAATGGAAAACAGTGACAAATACTAACAACAGCAGCTCATTAAAAAAACTTGCACGATAAATACCAAAGAGAAAAGCCTCCCCATTTACAATTCCTCTGCCTTTTCTCATTTCTTTCTTCACAAACACCATCACATGACCATAATCCTACCTCTCTTCTTTTCCTCATCTGTTCTGTTCTGAGCAGAATTCCTCTTCAGAAAAACATAAAAACCAACAAAAACCAAAAACCTCTCTCTCTTCTCTGTCTTTCTTTCATAACATAAGACAAAACACAGAGCAGTTAAAAGTCAGTTCACCAACAAGGACTGACACTCTGCACATACGCATCTGCCTTTTTACTGAATTCTAAAAGGGTTTTGTTGAAGAAGATGGAATACCTGCTCTTTGCAAACAAAGTCTATCTGGGCTAGCTAACAAGTTCTTTCCACTATACTTGTGCTAAGGTTTGTGGGTTTTTTTTTTTTAATGAATTGTAGTAGTTGAAAAATTAAAAAGTCTTTGTTACTTTGTTTGTCTTAAAATTTTCTATTTTTGTAATAATTTATAATCTATAAATAATTAATATTTTGCTTAAGTTTTGACTTATACAAGGTGTCTTTATTTTCTCTTAATCAGGCGGTAGATAGTGATCATTGACCCCATTGGATACGCAATTTGTGAACTACTATAAATAAAACACTCTGCTTTCTTTTCTTTTCTATATTTTCTTTCCCGAGAAAATAATGCAAATAGCGATAATCCAAAGTTGGTAACAATTGTTTTTTTTTTGCTATCTGGGTTTTCTCTGAATAGTAAGACTTTTTCTTCCTCGTAAATTCAAATTTTGCAACTGTTCTATTGGTTTCTGAGTCTCTGTTTTTTTTTTTTATGTTTTGTTTGTTTGTCCTGTTCATTTATGTTGTTTTTTTCTTCAACTGAATAACCGTTTCTTTTTTCTATTTTTTTCCTGATTTTTGGGTTCTCGATTTTAGATTAGGATATGAGTTCGTCATATGAAGCTGGTGGGGATGGTGGATTGTTGATGGAAGAAAATATGGAAGCACAAAAATTCTCTCTTTTGGATCATATAAATGGGCTTCAATACACGAAGGAGAAATCAGATAGTTTTGTTATTGACATGGAAAGTTTCTCTCATGGCATCAATAAAGATATCAACGCAAATTCAAGAATCACAGTGAGTTTCTGCTTTTTCTTTTTCTTTTCCTATCTTCTTCTCTCTTTTTGCTCCTTTTTCTAGTCGTGGATAAGTTTCCTTATAGTTGATTCAGCAACACGCATGCCATTACAATCAAATTTCTTTTTGTCAAACCATCAACTATCTAAGATCAGTAGTTTAATCTATTTTGTTTTAATAATTTGTTACCTTTTTTATGATTTTTTTTTTTTTAATGAATGAAAAGTTGCAGAGGAACCTTTCCAGAAAAGGGTCACTGCGGGGCGGCGGCGGCGAGAAGAAGATTAATTCTAATCTTTCTCACTCTAATCTTTCTAATCTTTCTGTTAGTGATAGAGAGGCTATTGTTGCTTCAGCTTCACCCAGAAGTATTGCTTCACCCAGAGGTATTAGTTTTGCATTACAAATTCTGAATTTAATTCTATGCGTCAAGTCATGTCCATTTTGGCTGTGTTGTCACTATAATAATATAAATGTTGTCACTATTCTTCAATGATAGATGAATCATTCAAAAAAAAATTATAGAAAATTTTTGACAGGTCAATTTTATAGGCAACTTAGCAGGTTTCCAAATTTTTTATTGTCAGATTTGTTTTTAATGATTGTTACCCTTCTGGAAATATAGTTTAAGTGAGAGAGATGTTCATGCAGATGCAATTCACAAGCAAACATTAGAAGCAACAAATTAAGAGATACACTGCTGATATTTATTCTAGCTAGTTTTATTCTTTGACTTCTTCAATGTGTTGCCAAACTGACTATAATAGGGAGAGAAAGTAAAAGACTTGATTTTAACTGTTGAAGGTTAGGTGGGGTAGATAAGCTAGAATATCTGCACAAAAATAAACCCTGTCTAGCACTGGTAATGGGGTCAATAGTTATGGTTGGTGAAGGTGAAATGTTACCAAACTGTTGGGTCAACCATGGGGTTATGAACAGCAGAATTGAAACATGGGTGGGTTCATATAATGTAATAGACAGTACAGATTGCAGAGAATCATCCATTTTGCTGGTCTTCCATTTTTGAAGGCATGTGCACTTATTGTTGGGAAGTGGATGAAAATGCTAGCTATCAGAAAGTAAATGTTTTGCACATATATGGTATAGTGTTTTACTGATCTGTAATTACTTTGCTAGGGCCAAGCACGCCTGAAAAGGCAGCAGTGGTAACGGTGGGGACCCCAGATCATTCCAGTAGCCCACAAGTTCATCATCAAATCACTATCACGACCGGCAACATCAATGGCACCCCAGAAGGCAGATGCATTAGGAGAAACAGCTTCAAGCGCTCGTCACCTTCATGGGTCCTTGATCCCAAAAGGATTCTTTTCTTCTTTGCCACTCTGTAAGCTTACCACCAACCTTTGAAAGGCTGCAAAAAGATCAATCATATGTCATGATATTTGTCCACAGGCAATTTATTTTAGGTATTTTCATTTGCAACAGGTCAAGTCTGGGAACAATGTTGCTGATATACCTCACTCTTTCGATTGGGAAGCTCAATGCAGTCGATCATTCCCTTGATTGAAACCAGCAACATTAGGCACCACATTCTCATAAAGAGGAAATAATTATAGAGTATAGACTTTGGAGCGTAATTTGTGACTGAAACAGAGATGAAGGTAATTAGTTGATGATGAGCATCCTTTTTGCAAGAATAGGCTTCTTTACAATGAGGGTTTGCCGCGAAACGGTAAGAATGACAGAGAAGATAAGATGATAGCAAACGCTAACCCAAGACCTTCCATAACCCTGGTTTATATTTTCAGCAGCGATAAACTTTTTTCAGGGCCTCACTAAAATCTTACAGATGCAGACAAGAGCATAAAATGTTGTGAAAAGGAGAAGGAATCTTCTTTAAAGAACCTATGGAAGATGAACATGACGTGTTGTTACCTTGTGTGGTCTCTTGTGCAAACCTGTACAGCTTAATGGGGAATCGGATAGTTACTTTCTTTGTCTTTCTTCAACCTTTATTTTGGCTCCTCATGCCTTATTATTCTGTTCGATCTTTTTGACAAATCCCACTTAGATTGCCTTTTTGTTGTCCGTGATGGCTTTCATGTGAGTGAAACAAGATCAAGACAGCTCACCACCCTAAGATTTAAGGCAATAAGATCATTTCTGTGCGCGGAACCATGCCCACCCTAAGCTTTTCACCTTTTACCACATATTGTGCACACATGGAGTAGCCCAGGGAGGAAAGAAAGGCCTAAAAACAAACATTAACGCCAATGCCTAACATTTAATAAACTGGATTCTCACTCATAGTTCAAGAATAAAAGAGCAAAGAGAATCTAAGCTGGAAGACATCAAAAAGGGCTTAAATATTACCCGTTTTCCAGCACTGCTCAATTAAGTTTATGTTAATTTTTCTATCCGGGTATAGTGCATAATAAATCTTTGTACTATCTCATAATGTTTATGTTAATTTCTCTATCTAGATATAGCGCATAAAATGCTTTGTACTACTAAAAATTGGAACAAACCAATCCTTTCGTTAACTATTTTCATCATATTCAGCAAACTCTGTCAATTAACTAACGTCTAACTAGTCATGTGATGACGCGTGTCAATTCTGTCTTTTCATTTTTACTCTTTAGTTGATATAAGTCATTATATAATCAGTCATATATAAATTAATTAACAGAGTTTAGATAATCTAACAAAAAAATTTAATGGAATGGCTAATTTATTCTATCGGCTAATAATACAAGATTTGTTATGAACTATACCTAATAGAGGAATTAATGTGAATATTATTGAATATTGCAGAGGTCCGAGGTGTATTTAACCCCATCAAAAAGGGAAATCTCAAATGTTTGTCACTAACATCATTGAGGGAATGATGGCAATCTCCTTAAGGATTCTTGTATCTGGTTAAGTGGAGGGGAAAGGGATAAAATGTTAAAAATATGAGTCTGACGTAAACAACAAAACACAAGATATCTGGTCAGTTGGACAACAACAGAGTTATCACATGATGAAACAAAAAATACATCTCTGGTCCTGAAAATTCACGATACCAAAGTGTGGAATCAAGTCGTGAGGTATTAAACTCTTACTGCAATTGATATGAGAGACCACATTGATGTCAAATTATTTTTCAATGCCCACATGATGGCCTTAGTCAAAATCACACTTAATCAACACTGTTTATCTCACGATAATTTTCAAATCATACCACTAGAACAGGGAGGCCTAGATTTCAGAATCGACAATAGATTACCATTTGGTTAGTAAACCTTTAATATCATATCAAATAACCGATCTCAATCCAAAAGTTTACAAGTTTAAACGGCTGGACGAGGTACCAAGAATGGCTGTATATTACTTTCTAACAGTTTTGGTATTCACAAAGACAGAAGAGGTATACCTCTTTGCTGCATTCACCATATTCCTTAACAAATAAGGATTCATGATGGATCAAAGAAGGGCTCAATGCTATACCGTATCAATATCTCATCATCCGAATACATATCTATAAATTTCAATCTTCAATTAGTAGCGTTTTGAGATTCGTGGCATTGAACATTTTTGTTTCCGATCATGGTATAGCCTTAAAATTACAGCTGCAGTTTCTTCAATTGCTTTTCCTGTCACTTCTGCAATCATAAACAAGTAAAAAGCACCGTCAAGATTCAGCCACTAGCATATCTGTAAAGACTCCAATAAGTAGAACATTTGAAAGTTGAACCACATCACCAATTACTGGCCAAACAGGATTCTGTGCGAAGATCCTGCGAGCAAATTCCAACTCCTCTCTGACATGATCCATCTCTGAATAGCTACTCCTCATATCTTCACTGAAACCCAGACTCTTCGCCCTCGCTCTTCTTATTGCTTGTAACACTATAGGATTGATAGTCAAGCCAAAAACCTTTTCAGGGTCAACTTCAAAAAGGCTATTTGGCAATTTTAAACCCTTTACAATTGGCACATTTGCGACTTTATATCCTTTCTGTGCCAAATATATTGACAAAGGTGTCTTTCCGGTCCGAGAAACTCCAGAAAGAACAATGTCAGCCATGTACAAGTTCTGAGGTAATGCCCCATCATCTTGTTTAATGGTGAATTCAATGGCTTCTATTCGTTGAAAATAATCCTCTGAAAGAGGAAAACTCCTACCAGGAGCTCCACGAGGAAGACCAGAAGGCAAGACACCGAGATGAGAGGCAATGGCTTCTGTTATTGGGCCTAGTACATCTGTAGCTGCGATGCCCCATAACTTGCAGGCTTTTTTAGCAGATTCAGCCATTGAAGGATCAGCTAATGTGTAGACTACCAATGCACCTTCTTTTGCTGCTTGTTTTATGATCTCCATTAACCTTTCCACATCATCAATCTGATCATCACTGCAACATAATTAGTTCAATCCTAGTGTTACTAAATGAGTAAACAACTTGCTGTTCAAGAAACTTCACCAAAAGAACGAAAAATATAAAACAAAACATAATTAGTTGTTTCCATCAATAATACCAATCAAATCATAATAGTGGAGTCAACTTAACTAATCAATTTATAATACCATTCAAAGTCAATGCCTTCTTTGAAACAAAGACATTGATTTTGTTCAAATCAGACATCTAAAATTTAGTAAAAATCGATTCAGTTAGAATGCAAATGTTACAAACATGTTAAGTTGCACAAATTCGATCCAAATTGAATCAGTTGTTACTTAATTTTTCAAACATCGGATTTGATAAAAAATATTAACTTTGTTCAAGCTAGATATTTAAAAAATTAATACAATCGATACAATTTAGACCACATGTTATGCATTTGAACTCAAACTAATGTCAATAGACATCTGTCCAAATTGGACCCATTTTTATTACATTTTGAACTAGGTCTAATGTTTTTTTCCTAGGTATTCATATCCCATGTTGAAGATAAAACTAATTATATTCGAAACGAGAACGATAAAGTTTAAATCTTTTTCTACAGGTACGATTTCAATATTCAATTTTTATATATGGACAGAAAATTAATCGGAAACCAGCTCCCTTATCACTCACTAAAAACTTGTTGGTAAGGTCTAATGTTTTTGGTTCCAAAGACCTCATCTAAAAGTTAATAATGAGGCCCACACCTCGGGGTTAATGGGCCCACTTACTAACACAATATGTAATTAGCATTTCTAAAAACTAAACTTTTTAAAAAGTATAAACCAGCATTTCTTATGTTCCCCATTAAACAATTCCAAGAAATTAATAAACGACGAGTCAATCAAGAAACGTCAAAAGAAAAATTGAGAGTTCAAGATTACCCCTGAAAACAGATGAGTGTTTACGGGACACCCACGATCAACCAAGCAGTAGTCGAACTGACCCAAAGCAGCATTAACGGAGTGCTCAGCCGTCCATCCAGTTCCGTCAGAAACCATATAAATAGCCTTCCCAAAAGTAACCTCCACGTCATCATATCCGTCACTCCCCGTTAAGGTATTAGCCTCTTTTATTTCACTCCCTTTTGGGTTCTGAGCTTGTGGGTTCAGCTCCAGACCCTGTGTGGTTCGCTGAGTCGGCCTGTCTAATTTTCGACCGGACCGAATGGACCGAGCTCTTGACCATCGGTTTAGTTGAGGGCTGCTCTTTGATTTTCCGAGCCTGAGGTTCCGAGAGAGATTTCGGTTTAGGCTCGGGTATGGAACAGTGTGGTGGTGGAGGTGGTAAACGATGGCTTGAGAGACCCAACGTGGCAGAAGAAATCATTTTTTTTCGAAATTTTTATATTTTTTTATGTTCTGATATTTTTTCTATTGAAATATGCGGGCATAGCCTGTAAGTTGTAACCAGCTGGCCCGGCCCAATTTGTGTTTTTTGGTTGGAATCTATAGCGAAAATTATAAATCAGTCATTCTTATTTTAAAAAATAAATAAATAATTTTTTTATTTAAAAAATTAATTATTTAATCTTTTACGTTTTAATTTGGATAATAAATTATTTTTTTCATCAATATTTCATTAGAATATTAATAAGATGTCATAACTATGGGTTTTTTTTTTAAATTATCTTTTTTATGCTTATTTCTTTCATCCATTCACATTTTTTTCCTCCTATCCTCGACCATCTCTAACGTCATAATTAAGCTCAAACCCATCATCAAGTTTTTCTGAAAACTCTCTTTCAAACATCACTCTTCCTCTCAACAAATACAATCTACTCAATCAAGCTTTTCTAATCTAAATAACAAAAAACAATCAAAGGTTAGGAACTTTTTGGTTCTAATGACGTGAAAGTCGAAACCATTAAAGAAGAAAAACAAGAGACTTTCACGTATGGATTAGAAGAAAAAAAGAGTTGAGTTGAATAAAGAAGAAAGGAAGAAAATCAAATGAGATTTTGTGAAAAAAGAATATGAAAACTGATGAAAAAGAAAATAAGTTGCAATGGCAGTCTCAATCGTATTAATTGGGTATATATCTTAAAGAATATTTTAGATATTATAAATTAATTTAGTGAATCCAATAAGAAGTTAATAGTGAAGGAACTAAATGATTATTTTTTGAAATAAAAGAAACTAATTAATTTATTTTTTAAATAAAAGATATTAATTTATAATTTACTAGAATCTGGGTGAGTAAATTATACATTAGTCTCTTTATTTCTTCAAAATGAATTCAATAATATCCCCAGTTTTAGAAACCAATTAACCTTAATTTTCATCCATTTCATGTACTTTCTAAATCAATTTACTATTTTTTTATTTTAAAAATAGAAAATTAAAAAAAAAATTATGAAAGATTGAGGGAAAAAAAGAGATTATTTAAATTAATATTAATATTAAACTAAATATAATCAATATTGGTTAAAAATTAATGAATTAATTAGTTTTTAAAATTAAAAAAATTATTTAATTCGTTTTGCAAAATTAAAAGGACTAATTTATGTATGCTCGTGGATTAACATTTTTGCTTTCTTTTTTTTCTATTAAATGGCATTTTTTGGAAATTTAAAATTTTTCTATTTGGTCACAAATTAACTGGTTATTTATGTCGAAATTAAGAAATTCATAGTATTTGCTTTTAATTATTGGAATAAAGCTTTTATAATTTCATTGTTATCCCAAACATTCAGCAAGTAGTCCAAATATCCTACGACTCTCTCCATTTTATTAGAAATTCATGGTTTATTTTTACATGCAAGGTAGAGTAATCATATGGTGAGATATATTTTTGTTTCACAACTTTAATTTCGATTTAAGACCGTTTTAAATGAATCAAAATAGTTTTAAAAATTGAAAACGAGTTCGAGGTGTCTTTGACTGAAAATGATGAAAAATACCATTTTAGATGCCTATGGGCGGTGGCCCTTGATCTTCCGACAACCAGAGCGTTGTCGGAAAAAACACAGCGAGCTACCAACCAGTGTACAACACATCGTTTTTTATTTGGAAATCATACACAAACGCCACATCGTTTGGTTTTTTTTTTTTTTTTAAAAAAAAAAACTCAAAAATATTGGGAAAACGGACGGAAGAAATTGGGTATGTACGTCTGGGCCCATACACGACACATTTGGGCCAAGCTTGAGAGGCTCAAACTGGGAAAACGAAAGGAAGAAATCGGGTATGTACTATGTATGTCTAGGCCCATACACGAGGCATTTGGGCCAAGCTTGAGAGGCTCAAACAATATATATTTTTTTTTATGATTTAGATTTTTATTAAATTATACAAGTAATCCGTACGTTTTATTTGTCTTATACAAATTTATTATATTTTTATTAAATTATACAAGTAATCCTTATATTTTTATGATAAATAATATTAAATCCATCAAATATTCTGTTATTCTCATTAATATTTTTTTTTAAATTATCAAAACAACATTATCACATAAGTTAGTTCTTAAATAGTAACCTAATGTAAGGGTTTATTAATAAATTTACAACAAAAAATTGATGGAAATAATAAAATATATAATGAATTTAGCAATATCTTTTTTTTTTTTTTTTTTTTGTCTTATACAAATTTATTATATTATTTTTGACGTTTTTTCTTTAAAATTTGAAAGTTTTTCATAAATTATACCAAAAAGTCAATAACATCAGTAGCTTAAAAATCAAAGAAAATTTTTAGCACCTTCTATTTAGAATGAGACTTGTCAAATTCTAAAAACTATTATCTAGTTCTTGAGCCATGAGTTGCAAAAACCATGTCTGAGCCCAGGTTCGAACTGGGGACCTCTAGTGTGTGAGACTAGCGTGATAACCAACTACACCACCCAGACAAGCTGCTGATAGATTATAACATTAATTAGTTATAGTTTTTTATTAAACATTTCCAATCTTCCGATAATTTAAGAAAGTTTTAAGATATAAATATTTTAATGACGTCAAAATGGTTGCGATCAGTATATACAGTAAATTCCCCTCCCAGACGAGAAAAAAGAAAGAAAGAAATAGAATCATAGAACATTAAATACAAAACGTTATTAAATACTCACTTTTTTGGGTAAATAACTAATTGGTATTATTAATGGAATGAATTTGTTATTATATTACATCACATTATTCATTACGTCCATTCAATTCAAACTAAAACTAAAGGAGAAAAAAAACTTAAATGAAGCTTATTTTCTTATAAATTGATGAAGGCCTGCAATCGGTGGCAGTATCATTGAACAATCTAAATTAAATTCTAACAATCTTAATAAGTTTTTCTGTTAAAAAAAAAAGAAAAAGAAAAAGAAAAACGATTTAATGTTTCTTTATATAATACGTTGAATTTTTAATTTGTTTTTATATTTTTAACTGAGTAATTTTATTCTTATAAAATGATTGGGTTTCCAATCTATATATTTTTTTTATGTATAAATTAACAAAAACAATCATGTATTTGATTTAACATTACACCAAAAATGTTTATGAATTCTATATATGGACATATCGATTATGTATAAAGCACGTGACAAACTGAATCTTTAAAAAAAAAAAAAATTCACACGAAACCAAACTTTTCTTCCTCTTTAAAACTTCCCTCTCCTCTTTTCTTTCCATGCCTCTCTTTGGTGACCTCCTTTTTGTTTCACCAAAATTTCTATTTTTTGGTATAATATTAAGTCATATACATGACTAATTCTGTTACTTTGTATTTCTTCTCATAAATTTTTTTCAGTTCAACTATAATGCTTTTTGTTCAACTAGCATGCATTCTCAGATTTGAGATTTAAAAAGTTTTCATAAAAAACGACTGGTGTTTAAATTGATTCATTAGTAATTAAAAAAAAACAACTCATATATTTATTTATAATTAAGCATTTTTTAATTCCAAAGTTTTCTCACGTAAATTGGATGAATTACCAAGCTAGAATCTAATCATGTTAAAAATTGCTAATTAAGTAACTATTTACATTTCCCAAAAGAACCAATCAAGATATACATTTTCTTTATGCAAAAAAAGAAAAGAAAACCTACTTAACAAATCACAAAATTATTTATTAAACAAGAAACCTAGGGAGCCCTACCTTAAGACCAAATTTTTGAACATCCTCTTGCACTTGTTGCCTATACTCTCTAAAGCTAAATTTCCTATAAGCTGAAGGCTCGTAGCAACTTTGTATCTCCGTATCATAGGAAGGACAGAAGAAATATGCAGTTGATAACCTTTCAACTCGTGGATTTGTGACAACACGATGATGGACACTCTTATACACATTGTTGCTCCAAGCCTGCAAATGTTCAACATATCCACCAATTAATGAGTTGAAACTTTCAAGAAGAAAGAAAAGGATTGAATAAAGGAACTTCCAAACATTTGGCCATCTTATTCTTATTCTGACCGAGTTTCGATTGCTCTTATGACTTGTGTTTCTCGAGGAAGAGGGAAGCAAGCACAGCTTTTTTTTTGGAAGAACTGTAACATTTTGTGCATGTATATTTATGAAAAAAAATCATGTTGGCTGGTAAAATTTATGCCCACCATTTATTAGGTAGAGCATACAAGTTGGTTCAATCAAATCGAGGGCTAAAACTAAAAAATTATTAATATAAATTTCAAACTAAGTTAAAGTTAGAAGGATTGAGAAAAAATGCGAATTTTGGGAGTGAAAAACTAAAAATTTCAAAGATTAAATTGAAAATTTTCAGGTGCCTCTAAAGTCTGTCCCTGTCAATGGTGGGCACGAATTCATGTCACCATCCTTTCCATCAAATTCGTGCCAAAGATATCATTCAATTTCCTATTAAGAAAATGTCCCTTTACCTGAAATAGGTCTCCGATATTAATTATTAGAGCCTCAGGGTTAGGCTTGACAGCAAACCATTTCCCATCTTTCACTAATTGCAATCCTCCAACTTCATCTTGGTGCAAAATTGTGAGAAAGTCGCTGTCAGTGTGTGGCATGAGACCAAACACTTCTGAAGGGATGGGACATGGCGGGTATCGGTTCATTCGTAGATAACAAGTGCTCGACAGACAATTTTCTTGAAAGAAATTAGACTTGCAGCCTAACTTCTCCGCCAAAATCTCAGCTAATTTCTGTGCTAGATTGGCAACTGTTGTAGCAAATTGTTCCATTGTCGAGCTGGAAATATATTTAGAAACAACAAAAGAGACAATCACACACCAAAAAAATAAAAAAATAAAATAAAATAATAATAATATATATATATATATTTAAATGGAAGAAATGAAATTATCAAAAGAGAAAATAATAAAAGAAACTGAAGGTTTCCCAATTTGGGAAAGTGCCAGCATGCGTCCATTTGATCAATTATTGACATGGAGATTAAATCCATTTTAGGCCACATTAAAAACTTTTAGGAAAGCAAAGTTCTTGTCAACAAAAGGGACAGCCACGAAAAAACACCTATCGAATCATATATATTTTCAAAGACAAAACACATTAAAAAATAAATATACATTTCCGATATTTTAAAGAAGTAGGTCTATTTACACAACTATCACATGCTTTCTCTTCGAAAAGATCTAGCTGGACCCTCTTTTTTATAACCACATATATAATTTATGAGAGTGAAACCCTATTCATATTCCCTTTGCCTTAGTCAAATACTCTCTTTTAAAGAAACGACATAATGAATTATTGATAAGATTTTTCTTAAAACACATTAAAAAAGGATTGAATTTTCAAAAAAAATTGAATATTTTCCATAAATTAGCAACAATTAGATAGGATTAAAAACGACATAATGAATTATTGATAATATTTTTCTTAAAACACATTAAAAAAAGGATTGAATTTTCAAAAAAAATTGAATATTTTCCATAAATTACCAACAATTAGATAGGATTAAAAACGACATAATGAATTATTGATAAGATTTTTCTTAAAACACATTAATAAAAGGATTGAATTTTCAAAAGAAAAATTGAATATTTTCCATAAATTACCAACAATTAGATAGGAAAAGAGATAAATAATTGTTGATTAGTGATTAAAATTAGTCCAAATCTTCTTAATATCAGCTAGTAACTTCTATTTAGAATGAGACCTGTCAAATTCCAAAAAAAAAATACCATCTGGCTATGATAATTTACAGCTCGTTTCTTCAACATGTGGCATTCCTTTCACGTGAAGAAGTGTAGACCTTTCTGACGAAATATCAGGTCATGCATGCAAAATATACGTATATCTGCTCTATGATATTGATGTCCTAAAAACTTTTTTTGACATTGCCAGCCATGTGAAGCAGATGCTGATGATGATGCGTGTGTTTGCTTGCTGGTCTAATTATGTAAAAATGAGGCATGATTTGAGTACTGTCTCACCATTATAGGAAAGTTTAACACATTTTACTCGACATTCCGCAGGGATAAGGCCGGAGGTAAAAACAAAATAGGTTTGATGATGTTTCATGTGGGTTTGTGGCTGTGAGCTGTAAGCAGTACAATTGGGGGCCTATGTGGTCTGGCATTAAGAAAACAAAATAGGGTGTACGGTAACAGATGTCTGAGCCCAGGTTCGAACTGGGGACCTCTAGTGTGTGAGACTAGCGTGATAACCAACTACACCACCCAGACGCTACGATAACGTGCTTCAATATTTGTATAATTAATTGAGTAGTGTAATTTTTTTTTTTTATATGACACAACCTCTGGTAATTAAATTTGGAGCATCTAAATAATAACCATGAGATCCATTTAATTTTGATTTTTTTTTAATAGTTCACCCCCTTCTATTGTTATGTCACTCATCGGAAAAAAATAATAATATTAAATAAAAAAGAGAGGAAAGAAAGGAAGCAGAATGATAGAAAATTAAAGAAAAATTGCAATTACCTGAGAGTACTGAAACCATTGGAAGCCGGTATGTCACTCATCGGAATATGAAAAGCTTCAGACCAGGACAACTGCCTAAGGCAAGTAGCTGAAGCTGTCCCCCATCGATAAGTCCCGCTAGAGAAATTAAAGAACTTTTCTTCTTTGCTCTTTTCGTGAAAAGGTTGTCTAAAAACCTTAACTTGTTCACTTCTCATTTTCTCCAAAATCTCACATGAAATCCCATGATTCAAGACTTGAAAGAATCCCCACTCCTGTGATGCCCTAGCAATCTCTGACTTGCATTTTTCTTTCTCCAATTTTCCAAGACTTAAACGGCCAAGATCAATCAATGGAAGCTCACATTCCTCAATAATAACAACCTCTTTTCGATCATTTGCAACTTTTGTGGCTTTGTCCAAGAGGGTCTTGTAGGTCTCCTCGAAAGGTGGGTCCACGTCCATCTCTTGAGCCTGAAAGGAGAATATGTGAAAAGGGAATTAATGTTAGAAAGGGTTGGAAAAGGGCAGGAAAAAAACGAAAGAAAAGGTGTGTGTGGTTGTGGGTGCCCTAGCTAGGGGAGAGAGATAGGGACAAAGGGAGAGAAAAGATTGGGACAAAAAGTTTTTCCTTTCTATTTTGTTTTTGTTTCCTTCGTCGTCGATGAAAACGTGATGGCGTTTCCTTTCAAGATTTGTATTTTGTAGACAAAGTTGATTGCATGTCTTTTTGTGTTCTAGGACTTGAAGATATCTAAATTTTCCCTTTTCCTTCTTATGATTTTTTTTGTTAATGCTTTGTATGAGATCCAATTATTCTTACTATCTATAAATTCAAAGTTTGAAATTCCTAAGCAAAATCAACAATGAAATCATGATTTTCCATAAAACTTTATTATCTTGGTTGAATTTTTCTCAAAAGAAAAATTCAAGTTAGTGATTGCTGAGAAAAAGAATATTAGTTTCCTTAGAATAAAAATCAAAATAGAGAGAAATCAGGTGTTGGATATATGCGAATTTGATTTGCAGTTAGCTACGTACAAACCTATGTATATTTTACCTCAAATACATCGTATAATTAGATACAAAATATGGGTATTAATTGACATTTAGACACTTCAAAATTAGTTAAAAAAATTTTAAAAAAACATTGTGAAATAGTTGAGAGTCTAATGCTCTCATTCACAAATAAGAATAATAAATGATAAAGTTATGCCTCCAATAAACATGTGGTCACTCGGTATTCTCATGTGGAAGCATTTGGTCTCCTGGTGTTTGCATATAAAATGGCACTTGGCCGATTTTGGTTTTGCCGTCTTGACTCTAATGTCAGAAGTCATGTGTCAAATGATGGTATAAGACCATTCACTGTTAAGAAATATTATTAATATCTACCAAATGAAAACAACGTCCTTATTGACTGCTATATCATGTCAAGTTTTGTCAATTGTCTAGCATTTCATGGACCCAGCAAAATCAATGAACTATGCAACAAATGAGCCTAGCTTGTTCTTCTAAAAAGAAAGCCTAGTTTATGCTAGATATAGTAGCTAATGGCAAGATGATTATAGCCATCTTCCTAGCTTTACTGTCACATTATTATAAAAAAAAATTAAATAAGAAACTAGCTAATAACTTCTTTGTGAGAGAAAATAGTGTGAATTATAGAAGATAGAGAATACATGAAATTAGGCAATGTTTAAGTGGATTAAAATTGTATGATTGGTTAGTTCCGTATAATAATTTCTCAAAACTCCACATCGAAAACGGCTAACGTTTAAGGAATTATGTAAAGATGGATAAATCACAATTGAACCCAACTGCAAGAGTTTAATTTTATTTCCTTACCAGGCTTATAATCTCCAAAAAGCTGTTAGATTCCACCATTAAGCTTTCCTTAATATGCAATTGAATTGAACCTTTTTTGGTCTGCATTATCAAGAAAATGAAGTGAAACTGTATATATGTTACTTCAGTTTCTGATGAAACAAAATAGAAAAAATCACACAGGTTGCTGTTGCTATGGATAAACACAAAGTACAGAACATCATTTTCAGGAAGTGATAAGGCTTGATGAGTTCGACAAATTTAAGTTAGCTAGCTAGCTAATTACTTGCATGACGGTGCACGGAAATGTCAACGTCCATTAACTAAGGGGGAAAAATCTGATAATATCATGTAATTTGAAGTACATCATGTAAAGCACAATCTTATCCATGTTAAAAGCAATGGTATATAGAGAAAAGAAAGGCACGAAAACAAACACACAAGGTGATGACAGGAAACAAAAAATTATCTAAGACTTGCATAGCAAAATAAGATGAAGAGTTTAGAGTAGCAAAGCAAAAGCAAAAGAACGCAGAGACTATTTGATGAGAAGAAATTTGTTACCTAAACGAGAAACGGAAAGAGAACGAGAGAGGTGGTGAGATAGAGAAAGGGCGTTCTGTGTAGTCCACTAAGCTTGGAGTGGAGATATTTTATAGAGAGGAAAAGGCAGACAATAAATAATTATAATTAGTACAGTGTATGGAGAAATATAATGAGGATAAGGAGTATTTGCTTAAGAGATGATCACGCGTACTCATAGTTGTATGTTTTGGGGAAAGAAATTGGAGAAAAGTAGGCTATACAAAACTTCCAATAAAGAACATTATATTTAAGATGTTATCTCGATGGGATATATTGGCAAATGAGATTCATTGAAATAATTATACCATTTTTTCACGAAGTCAATAATAAAATTCGAATTTGAAACTACGAGATCAAATGAATTTTTCTTTAACCATCTAACACAATCATTCGAGATCATTTCTTTAAAAACTAATAATGAAATTTAAATTTAAAACTGTTAAAGCACATATCTCCTATTAAATAGTTAAATCAAAGATAATTAATATATAAGATTGAAAATAGATCACTCATCATAAGGTTTAAATTTTTTGGATGGAACTCAATCTCAACTATATAACTCTAAATTATATCGGAATCTTTAAACCAAAGATGAATAATATATAAGATTGTGAAAAGATTTCTTATTATAAGACTTAAGTATTTTAAATAGAATTCAATCTCAACTATTTAACTTTATAATAACCATCAGATCGAAAGAGTATTTTTTTTTACCATCTAAGACAATCATTTGGAAGGTATATAATGTGTAGTTGACATGAATCATGTCAATAAACATTGTCGGATCCAATTAAATTCAAGCATTAAGTGAGGAATTGAAAGCATTATCCTTGGAATAAAAATGATTAAGAAGTGGTTGGCTATTTGTTTCCTATTTTTGAAGAGTACTAGTGTAGATAAAGATGATGACTAGGTACAATTTTCCATTCGTAGTGTCGTCATAATAGAGAAAGAGATAAGGGAGTGATAGACTTGGAACAATGAGGACCAAATGATAGGTTGTGACTGAAAAATTAGGTGCCAATTTGAAGGATAGACTTGTTTCAATATCCACCAATTAAACGTTTGGCATCGTCAACTTTCCATTTTGGTATCAACTTTGAAAGAACTTAATCTTTCTCTCTCTCTCTCTCTCTACATATCCCTATCTCTCAGTCTGTCTGAAATGAAATCTGAAAAACAAGGCACATGATTAGTACTGGACCCAACCGTATAACTGTAACTGCTGATCCCATGTCGGCAGCTACGTGGAGGCAAGGAGAGTCACATGCATGTTAAATTTTGTACGTCAAGATTTGTAAGCATGAGCAGTAGCCAGGGAGAATTAAGGGGTTACATGTGCAGTGCTTAGACGTAAAAGGACATGAGGATCATCACTGTAGGATTCATGCCTTAGCTTCTTACAACACTTGGTCTAGGAAAAATATATAAATGATCAAAAAAGGTATACATGAACATGATGTTATTATAATACAATTGGTTCTCCCTTGTCATTGAACAAAAAGACGACCAAAGGTTTAATCCTGTGCTTTTGAACGAAAAGACGACCAAAGGTTTCAATTAGCTAGGCAACGTGCCCTGCTGCTCAATTAATATTATGCTATGTTTTAATAAAATAATTGAAACGACATATTTGGCCCCATGAATGTCAACTTAAGGGCTAGCAGATTTCATCTTAGATATGCGGTATTTCGTGTATGCATGTTGTGCCCCTTTCCACCATTTATCTGTAATCTCTACTCAGCCTCATGAAATCTTAAAAAATATATATATTTTTCTGATATTAATGCAAACACCTTTTCATACTTCAATTAAAAAAAAAATTACGATCAACTGCCGATTCATCGTTTTAAATAACAAAAATTAAATAATTTAAATTATATTTATCTAATTTTTAATATTTTAATTATATAATTTGATATGTTAAATTCAAAATTATTAAATTATAATAATTTAAAAACAAAAAATTGCTAAATACCGAATAAATAAAGCAATTTTCTTTTCAATTTGACCATGAAAAATCCTTGTCTAGTCGATCATTAAATTCTTACAAAAAATTACAACTTTATTACGTTAACCGATGGCCCAGAATTTAATACAGAAAGCATGTGATGCATCTGAAAAGGAAGTTGAATGGGACAATGGTTGAGTTGTCTAAGGTCGTACATTTGTCATACCACTGAGCTCTCCTTGTTGTCCATTCTCTCATCTTTGAAAGAAACCACAGAGCAGAGCATACAGTACCATGTTAGTTAATTGTCTGCTATGTTGTCAGTTAAATAAAACATAATTATTTTAATTTAATAGTCAACATCATATTAGGGATCTATAAAACCATATTGAATAAAAAAATTAAAAGAAAATATTAAAATTTATAATTTTTTAATTAAAATCTTGTATTTAATTAATTTTTATTTACGTATTTTATTTTTTTAACTAGAAAAAATATAAATCATTTTCTTTTATTCATTGATTATTAAATAAAAGATTGTAATGATTTAAATTAAAATTTTGTTCTAATGCTATAAAAATATATTTTTTCATAAAATCATATAAAAAAATAATTTTTTATTTTTATTTAATGCTAATGAGAAGATTGTTTTTAAAAGTATCGTAAAATAGTCAATAATATTAACATAAAAAACTATATTTGAATCATTAGGTGGTTTAGTTGGAATTATTATTATTATTTTTTATACATCATGACTATATTTAGTGGGTTAAGAGTGTGAAAAATAAATCGAAAAAAAATCAGACAAAATTATTTAAAATATACTTTTAGCCTTTCGATTAAATATATATTTATAATCAAGCAACCATCACTTATAAATTTTAAGAATCCATGAGATAAATTCTATCAATTTATTTTCTAAAAAAGAAAAAAAAATCATGTTTTAAATTTTTTTCCCAAAATCTATATGTAGAGAAAAAATAAATCATATTCATCAACAATTTTTGTCAAAAATAAAAAATTCATTGGATAAGAATTTCTCTAAAAACTAATGAATTAAAAAAAATTAAATAATAAAATAAAATAATCTGAAATATATATTCATTTTAAAATATAAAAAGATATTATTTATATATCTCGTTCTTGGCGGGCTATGTTGAAAACATGAAAAATAATTTTTGATCTTTCATAATTTTTTTTCCAAAAAACCCTTAATAAAAAAATAAATTATTGAAAAAAAGCAAGGAAAAAAAAAGGCATAAGCCCCGTGCACTTAGAACTAGTTCCAAGCCAGCGTAGGTGACAAGTGTGTGTATGTATATATATATATATAAAGAGAAGCATGTAATGGATGACACTTCGTTCGCTATCTGCACAAAATACAACGTGTTGTCTGTTTGTTGGCTAGAAAAGTCACTAGAAAAACAGGTTTTATGTAGTTTTCGATCTCCCAAACACAAACTCAGAGTTATTTGTAACTCAAAATCACATAAAATAAGGCTCGTAAACTTATTTAGAGTCTCAAATTCTATTTTAATGCATTCAAAATTTATAAAATTTCAAATTAAATTAAAAAAATTTAAATTTTTTTAGAACTCCAATCTACCTTCTCCAACCAAATTGAATGTAATTTTGACGATCAAAATAGTTGAAATAGACCTTAATATTCCTCTCTCTCTCCTTCCTTTTAAGGGATCAAAATATAAGAAAAATGAAGTTTGGACTTGAAACTAAAGTTTTTTTTTGTAAAGGGACCAATATGTAAATTTCTCGCGAAACAAGTAAAAGAAAAGAGATGAACGGTCAAGATTAGAATAGGGAAGAACGGACGGCTAAAAAAACACTAGCGTCTGCATTAAGATCGTGTCACAATGAACATTAAAAGAAACAGCAAACCTTCCACCTCCTTTAGTTTGTTTTATTAATTATTAACACAATCTCATCTCAAGGCCTACACAACAGAAATTAAAACCCTATCATCAAATGCCAAAGTATACATGAATTATTGCTGTCGAATCTGCAGCCACATGGACGGTTGATGAATGGACTGATCATAATTGCCGACGGTGCCTGTTGCAGATTTTAGTGTGGTCATTCACAAGTCCTCCTTGTTCAAGTGGGTGTTTGACAATTTAAGGGTCAATGTGAATGGTAGAATGGGTTTAGCAGGTCATGTCATCGTGTTCAGGTCTTGATGATTAGAAGATAATTGTGTTTAATTTCACAGCATTCAATCATTATGGGCTACCCTAAGGGTATATTCTGCCCTTTTCTATTTTAATGATCCTCTCTCTCTCTCTCTCTCTCTCTGTATATATATACACTAACTGGCGAAACATGGCTTAATGCTTGTCGGCCAGGTTTGCCCCATGCCCACGTACCCTGCAAAAAATCATGTGGATTGCTGGTGAATTGGCTGTTAACTAGTTGTAATGTTAAAAATCTGTGTGTTAAATTTAACTCTCATGAAGAGGTTGGCAAGGCTACGTACCCACCTGATATCTGTCAGAGAACATTGCCTGCCGACCTTATTTAAAGGTCATAAGGGTTGGATCGCCCCGATGACGAGAGAAACTTGAGACTGCAATCACGGGCTACAGTCGGAAGAAAACGGAAACACAAAAGAGAAATAATGGAGAGAAAAAAAAACTTGAAAGAATGTAAAAAATTTTTTATCGTTTTTTATGAGTTTGAATATAATTTTTTTTTAATATATCTATTTATTTTAAAAAAAAACTCATGAAATAACTATTGTACATATTTAATCATTATTCTTCATATATTATAAAATTTCTCGAGTAATAACGCTTTCAAGTTTGGAACATTATTTATTTTTTGAGTGAATCATATTAGTTTTATTTGTAAATTTGGCAAGCAGTTCTAAAGTTTCATTAACTAAATATGGATGATTTTTTCTTTTATTTTTAATTTTATGGATAATTGGGATTAATTTTTGGCTAAATAGATCAAACATTTCTTAAATTTTAATCAATTTAAAAATCAGTTTCTAAACTTTTAATTTCGATTTTGATGTCTCCCTATTTTTCTAAATTAAAAAAAATAGAATTATTTTTTATTATTCCTAATTTCTATCTTTTTAATTTAAAGAAAATAAAACAATATATTTTTCAATCTTGAAAAATTTTGAAATTTTTTCTTAAAATTAAATGTATTGGATGTTTCCTAATGTGTGTAAAAATTTAACTCAAAATATCAAGAATTGAGATTTTTATAGAGAGTTATAGCTGAGGATAGAGTAAATCTTAAAAAAAAAAAAATTCAGAAAAAAATCGAGCTTAAAATTAAAAATTAATTAAGCAAGGAAAGACCTTGATTGTTTGAAACAGTGGAGAGAAAAGGATAAGGATTAATTTCTGTTAGCTATCATTAAGACTTTGTGAGTCAATTAAAGCGTGCTAAACTGAATTTTAAGCCAAAATTCACCACACAAGAAGAAGGATTCTGCATCGTGAACTTCTTGTGGTTGAAAACAATGATAATGAAATGATTTCGACACTATGACTATACTCATTCTCATAATCCACAAACTTCTTTCAATAATTACTGCGCAAATTATTTTAAAATATAAATTTTCGATCATTAAACAATTGATTATATATGAATAATCCAACTGTCAAAATTATAGCACCTTATACCCAAAAACATACAGTTAATTATGCATGTAACAACAAATTCATCTTATTGCTGACATAAATCAAATTTAGTTTCTAATCAATACAAGAAATTTAATTGAAAAAGAAAGAGGCAAAGGAGATAGTAATCCCCTAACTATTATGTGATTCTCGACTCGATCCTAAACAAAAATAATTTTCATTTGGATCGCGTTTCTATCATACATCACCCAATTAACCCCTATTAAAACTTATAAAAAATAGCATCGTTTTAAGATTTAAAAAAAAAATCTTATTTTTTATGATTTTATGAAAAAAAAAAAAAAGGAGAGAGAGAAGAAGGCTATTGTCCAATAGATAGGGGATTCAATTAGAAAAAAAAAATTAGGTGATAGTTGAAGACAGATATGTCTAAAAAGAAAAAAAAATTGCAATATTTGATAGAATTTTTTTTTTTTTTTTTAAAGGAAAGTTAATGCACTTTGAATGTGTTGTTCTTCTCCTTCGAAAGGAAAGCTTGAATTTCTTTTTCTAAAACAAACACGTCTGTTTTTTTTTTTTTTTTTTTGGGCTTAAAGCCCAGAACACAAACTCAAATAGAAAAGGCTACTTACAGTTGCAGACCCAAGGCCTTTCGCATCAAAAGTGTGTACAATTTTCCTTCAAACAAGCTCGAGGCTCCGGCCGAAAAAGCTTAATTCACGACCCAAAGCTTAGGTTTAATGGCATTTCCCCATCCAACTTGGCAACAAATATTGCCCAAGCTTCTATACTTTGTTAGTGAAAGTGTGAAACATGTTAGAAAATTAGTGTCCGTTTAGCATATTTTATGAATAATTTTTAATAATAAAGAAACATGTCTTCATTTATTTTGTACTCAGACTTTATCTCATATTAAAAAATAGTTAGTTGTCTTATATAAGAAAATAGGTAGTTGGTTTTAGGCAAGCAAAGCTAATCCTTGTACCTACAAGACAATTAAAGTAAATATATACGATGGTGATGATGATGATGATCAAATATATACTTAAAATTTTTGTTCTTTTCTTTTAATTTAAGGTTTATTTTAGGTTATGAAAATACAAACCTAACTAAAAATTGAAGGATTAATCACGTCTCGTATCTATATTCTTTAAAATATTTTTTTTAATATGGTCTTTCTACTCTAAATATTTTCTTAATATGTCCAATCCGATAAGATTTCGCTCAATTTTTCAATAAAAAAAACATATGGATTTACACATGGAATTCTTTTTGAAAAAATAATCAGAAAAATTAAAATTTAGAAAATAATTTATCAAATTGAAAAAAATTTGACATTTTTCATCCAATGTGTGTGAGAGAGAGAGAGAGTGTATTTTGACTTTCTCTTTTTCATCCTTTAATTTTGTTTTCTCTTTAAAAAATCAAAATTATAATTTTTTTTCATTTTATTTATTTATTTATTTGATATTTTTCATCGGTTTGAGAGAGAGTCAATTTTTTTTTTTTTGACATTTTTCAGACTTGAGAGAGAAAATTGACTTTTTTGGCATTTTTCATATGATATGTGTGAGAGAGAGAGTTTTGACTTTACATTTTTATTTTCATCATTTAATTTTGTTTCTCTTTCAAAAATCAAATTTATATTTTTATATTTTTTTTTGCCACATTTCAATTTTATATGACATGTCAATCCACCTTTCACTTGTAATAAAAAAAAAAAATTGACCAAAATCCTATCGGAAGAGGCACATTAAGAAAATTTCTGAAATAAAGAAACCAAATAAAAAAAATAAAAAATAAAGGAGTCACATTTAAAAAATTGACCATAAGTTACAAGATGTTCTTGTAGGAAATTTAAATCATTTTCCCTTTGGAGATTGTATCTTTAACTAACTAGATGTCACACAAAGCCAATGAATAGAACTAACATTACTCTTCCATAACGTCAATTAACAAAGCACCAATTACTCATCACACAAAGCTAATGAATAGAACTAACAATACTGTTCCATAACGTTAGCTGGTAAGAAGAGATCAAGAACTCAAGTATAAAAGGAGCACTTAGGACAAGACATAGCATGTAGAGTGCTAGCCCAAATGGAAAGATCACTCAAGACAATGACACTAACATTTTTTGCAACCTTTTTGTTACTACTTTTGCCCAAGACTTATGCCAACCCACCCCTTCTTCCACATTGCATGAATCAATTTTCTTTAGCGAACTATGCATGTGCAATGCTTCCATACACACCATTTCCACCTCCATCCCCACCTTCTCCGGCTCCCGTTCCGCCCCCGCCATCCCCCTCTCCTCCCTCCCCACCCTCACCAACTCCCCCTCCCCACCGTCTCCTGATGATGGAGGCGAACTTCGGGAGAGACATAGAGAGAATCATCATCATCGCGAATCTATAGAAGAAGATTGCTGCAAATGGTTGGAAGCTTTAGATATTGAGTGTGTATGTGGCCTGCTTCATAACCACCTGCCTGTATTCCTCTCGAAGCCTGCACATGAATATACTCTTTATGTTAGTGGCTCGTGCAACATTACTTACGCTTGTGATGGGAAAAATGTGTGATGGGCATCTCAGTTGGAGCTAATTTACCTATGTTTTTAACGTTTTTTATCTGCTTTTTTAGTGACAAAGTAATAAAATTAGCAAAGTATAAGGAGTGAACTTGATTGATGAAAAGAGTTTGCATCCCTACTTAATTTGCCAATAATTCAATAATAATTTCTTTTCTCGTCCTTATTGAGCCACTAGCTTGGAATCTTTGTACTTATTCAAGTAGTTGTTTGAAATTACTCTTTTAATTCATGCCCAAAGGATATGGATCATGGTTAGTTATCATAAGAATAGATTTAGTATATTGTAGTCATGACAATAACACTATCTTTGGTTGGTCTAATTGAAAATGAACCAAAACTATAGAAAGAGCATGACTAACCTCTTTCCCAACATTTATGCTTCAATTTTAAACTATTTTAACTGAAAAATTTCTAACTCTTGAGGTTGGTCTAATTGACGGATGAGTTTGATTTTGTCAACGGGGACTGAATTTGAACTTTGAACGGTTAATATGATAGTCAAGAAGGTTTAATTTTTTTCTAACTTTTTTTTTATTCGAATATTAAAATTATTAGTTAAAAAAATTTATTAAATTTTATGAATGTATTAGATGGATACAGAGATACAGATGATTTGAAAAGAAAATTAAAATCTTAATTGAGCCATAAAATAATAATAATAATAATTTTTTTCTAACTTTTTTTTTGGTTGCATTGGTCTCTTGTAAGAAACCTTGTAATTTATTGTTTAATTTTAGAGATTTGCCTCTTTCTTAAAAGAAATAAAAAATAAAATTGATGGATTTAATTTTGCTACACCTCAACTATCATGCGATAAGAGAAAGGCAAATCTCAAGTTAGTTTCAAACTATAAACTCATTCTCAATGTAGTCTCCAAATTATTAATATTATCAATCAAGTCTTTAATATATTATATATTTCTTAATTAAGTCTCTCATTAATGGAGAGCGTCACATTTTCCTCAAACATGTCACTTTATTGCATAATACATGCATTATAGACATAAAAAATTAACTAAAATAGACACGAAAGCTCACTCAATTGAGAAATGTCCAATACTTTGGAGACATAATTAAGCAAATCAATAGATTACATACCTATCTGAGAATTGTTCATAGTTTGAGGACTAATCTGAGGTTTGCCAAAAAGAAATTCTAATCTCTCTGTCTGGCGGCCCAGATCCAATCTTTCAAACAGTTGACCTTCGCTCACGAGTGAAATGACATTTTTCCCTTGCAATTTTTCCTCTTACATCAAATTGTACATTTTCGTAATTACGTAAAACCCATAGCCTCTCCTCCCTTCTCTTCTTCCCCTCTAAAGCAGCAACAAAATTAAAATCAAAATCGAAACTGAAAGCGAACTCTATTCCATTCCAATGGCGCCACCGGCAACGATTCGGTGGTGCGCAGTAGCATCAACTCTGATTCTCTCTATCCTCATAATCTCTCCATCAGCATCAGCTATTTACTGTGATGAAGATGATTGCTACGATCTACTGGGGTCAGCTCTTTTTTAACCACCCGCCCTCTAACTAATTTTTTTTTTTTTGAACTTTTTTAGTTTACTGATTTCGCTTCTATTTTTAACAGCGTTACTCAAAATGCTAATGCTTCAGAGATCAAAAAAGCTTACTATAAACTTTCGTTGAAACAGTAAGTTTTATTTATTTATTGATTTAATTTGTAATTTTTATCTGATTTTTTATATATATAATTTTGTTTTTTTTTATGGGTTATGGTTAGTCACCCGGATAAAAACCCGGATCCGGAATCCAAAAAGCTGTTCGTGAAAATTGCTAATGCTTACGAGGTAAAATATTTTAGTTAAATTCTTTTTTTTTTTTTTTATAATTGTTTTTATTTTCTTGCTTAAATGTGTTATTTTTTGTTCTGTTTTGGAAAATGCAGATTTTAAAAGATGAAGCTACAAGAGAGCAATATGATTATGCAATTGCTCATCCAGAAGAGGTGCATTTTTATATATTTTTTTTAAATTCAATTTTATTCAATAGGAATGAATTGGGAAGGAAAAAATCGCTGGTAGTGAAGATTTTGTTGAGTGATTTGGATTAGTAGTTGTTGAATATTCGAAGCATTTCCTATCTAAATGGACCCTTTTTTCATTTATTGAAATTGAGATTGTTGAAAGTACTAAGTGTTTTTTTTGCTTTTATTTCTTATAGGTGTTTTACAACACGGCTCGTTATTATCACGCATATTATGGTCATAAAACGGTGAGAATGCTTACGTTGATTTATTGGCATTTGAGTGTTCTCGCTGCTTAGGGTTGCTGCTGGTAGTCTGTTGACGAAGCAGTTGTTTTAAATTTCGGTTTTAACATTGATATGTATATTTTGTAGGATCCACGTTTTGTTCTGGTTGGTCTTCTTCTGATTCTCTCAGGGTTTCAGTATATGAATCAGGTGACAAGGTATAACCAGGTATTGTCCCAAACCTTAACTGTGGCTAAACTTGATTTGACCAATGTTGTTGCGCATGTTGGATGTTGGTAACCTAGCATGGGTTCTACTTGGAGAACTGTACTTTTGATTTATTGCAATACTGTTGTCATGGCTGCTGTTTCTTGTGCTTTGCAACTTTTGTAATGTGCACTATTCTTTTTGTGTGCTGAAATTGTATTGAATGTCAGTAAATCAGGGCAAGGAAGATATAGACCGGAGGATTTGCAGTGCGATTTTATAGATAAAGAATTTTATTGGAAAAATACGGTTCACATGCAGATTGCAGATTTCATTTTTCTTTGCTTTTTTTTTTTTTTTTTAATTCCTTTTGTCGTTGCAGGCTGTAGCAATGGTGAAGAAAACTCCTGCTTACAAAAATAGACTACGGGCATTGGAACTTCAACGCAGTGGAGGAGTTACGAATAAGAAGAAGAGTAACAAGCAGATGGACAAGTATGAAATTATTTTGATCATTTATGAGATACCAAAAACAGATGTGAATTTGTTTGTTAACTTTATGTCTTATAAGTGTGTACATTTAATCCTGTCAGCCTCTCTTTGTGATCCTAAGCTATATTTTTTTGGCAGGAAAGTGGAGGAAGATCTCAGCAAAGAACTTGAACTGGACATAAAGGGAACTCAGAAACCCTCCATCTGGGAACTTCTTGGCATCCGATTTATAGTTCTTCCTTACACTATTGGCAAGGTTAGAATACCCATCTCGTTGAATCTCTTTTCTGGCCCAGGTGACCTTATTATTTAAGAATATTGTATGCTTCCCTGTTTCTTTGTTTTTATTGTTATCTCCACATAATGCTCATTTAGAATCCAATCTTAAGTTGTGACTATGAACATTTCTGATTGATTTTTTCGTCGTCCAGCTATTACTGTGGAATGGTTGTTGGTTCTGGAGATACAAGGTGAAACGAGCGCCATATTCTTGGGAAGATGCCGTCTACCTAACACAAAGATCCCTGAGAGTGCCTCTTGATGCATGGGAAAATATTGGTAACCATATACAAATTCCCAACTACACTACAAGCCAACTTAAAATATGTGTCTATTATCCAACTTAAATATGTTTATCTGTTGTGTATGTGTGTCTTAATCAAATATAAAAGGATGAACTCTGCCAAGGCATTAATCAAGGTTTGATTTACAGATTAAAGGATAGCTTAGTAAGCTTGTCTTTTAATCAGTAATAGGTTGCTCAATATTCATAAGATTTCATGACCATGTTACACATTTGGATGAATGCCTAACATTTATATCATCAAACATGTTTTTTTGAGCCATGTGCACTCTTTTAGCTATATATGAATTGTGTGATGGTTCAATTGTCTGGAGCTCGTAAGTAAATATGAATTGCTGTTCTTTACTTGTCGATTTCAGACGGATCAATGAAGGAAGATCTTGTTCAGAGACGCTTATGGGAGAAATCCAACTTGGAGACCTACTTTGCAGAACTTCGTAAAGAATCCAAGCGCAGAAGATAGGGGATTTTCCTGATTTGCTATATCGCACGCCTTAATGGTGACAGAACAATTTTTTGGTGATAGATAGACAACAAATATTTTAGAGTTCACAAATATTGTACGGAATAGGTGATTTGTTGAGTTATTCTATTATATATGAAAGCAACATTACTTGTGTAATTTAAAAAATTATTTATTGATAAACACTCAAATATATGAAGTTTTGAGTACCCTCTTAGAGGGTTTTGTGACATTATGTTATGGGGTTTTTTTTCCAGTCACTAACCTTTTTTCAAAGAAACATAAATGTCTGTCAGTTCTGACATTTTCTTCCTATTCAAGAATTAGTTAAGCCAGGCTTGGGCTTACTCAGCCCTGCTCAAGCTTAATATTTGAGTTTTGATCCATCCCAGATTTGCACTCCCTCCTCCATCCATAGAAATTATTTGCTTCAAAACTCTTTTTAGTCCTTTACTTATTTAAAAATATATGTTTAATTAAAATCTATTTTGATGACTAACAATTCTTAAAAAAAAATGTTTTAGAAAAGTATGAGTAAAAGCTATTAATATAGCATGGCAGTTAACAAAATTTTTTAATCTATATGTAAAGTTAAAAAGACCATTTTTTTTCTTTTTTTCTTTTTAGACGGAGAGAGCATTGCTTATTCGTAAGAAGAGTCTTTTATAAATTAACTTCTTTATTTTTTATAAATGAATTAATTACTTTTTTTCAAAAATTAATTATTTAATTCATTAACCAGTTCTAGAAATGAATTAATTAGTTTATTTTAAAAATTAACTATTCAATCAATTAGCTAGTGTATTTCATAAAATGCGATTTTTTCATTTTTTTTACTTATTTTTTTATTTATTAAAACAAAAAATTTGAAATAGATTGAAAAAGAGCAAAAATAATTAAATTATAAGAAAATTTAAAAATATAAGAATTAAATAATTAGTTTTAAAAACAAGTGAGGTTAATAAATTCGTTTCTCAAAACTAGAGGGACTAATTTATAATTTACTCCCCCAGAATCCCAACGACATGATTTTGTTTTGTTTTTTGAATGCCTCAAATATACCCTGCAATTATTGGGATAGTATCAATTTTATCCTTGTACTTTGTTTTTAAATTTTATTTCAAACCATTTGGGTTTTTTCAATTGAGTCACTCTGTTAGAATTCCTTCACAGAATTTCTTCTGTGAGAATTCTAAACATTTGAGATAAAATTGATACAAAAATTTGTTTGATTGTAAAATTAAGATTATCTATATAGTTGGAGGATCAATTTTGTAGTTTGCCATTTCTTTTTTAAAATGAACTAGATACCTCACCGTACAGTATCCACGCCCGTCTTGCTCCCCAAAACTCTCTCCCTCGGTGCCGGACCGAAACACTCAACAGGAAAATCACCGCCTCTTTTGCTGTCTTCCTCTCTCTCGACATTCTCTCTTTCTCATGCAATAAACGAATTCAAAAATCATGACTCATTCTCATGTTGCCTATTTAGTTCCACTGCATCCGAATTGCGAAGAAAACACTTCAACCCCTAAACTCCCTCTCTCCAACGGCCCAAACAAAATCGGCCGTAACAGCGTTTCCATCTCCGATAAAAGACTCAGCCGTAACCACCTCACTCTAACCCTAATCTCCTCTTCCTCCTCCTCCTCCTCCTCCTCCACTTTAACCGCGGTAATTTATCTCCTTTTTTATTATTTACCTGCACTTGGGAGTTAAAAAAAGTAAAATAATAACTTTTAGTATTGTTTGTAGGAGGGAAGTAATCCGGTGGTGGTTAAATCGGGGAATCGGAGAAAGAAACTGACTACCGGAGAGAAAGCGGAGATTGTTAATGATGATATTATTGAGTTAATACCTGGTAATCATTTCTTTAAGTACGTGTTAATCACTCCTAATAATAATTCACAAAAGCGAGATTCTTTCGAGGGAAGAGAGAATGGTGTAGGCGAGAGCAAGAGAAAGAAGATGCGAGAAGGCATTAGTAGCTCCAAGGTTTTGGTTTTTTTACGAAATTTAGTGTTTTTTTTTTACTGTATTTGGTATTTTGATGAAGTATTAGATTGGAATTTTTAGGTTGAGATGGAAGATGGTGGACTGAGGAATTGTGAGGAGGCGATTAGGGATTTTCGTGTTTCGGAGGAAGAATTGGCATTGACATATCGGCTTTTGAGAGTGAAAGAGTTGCCAGCTTGGGCTAATACGTCTTGTGTTTCGATAAATGATGTGATTAAGGTAATAATGTTGTTTCTAAATGTGGTCTCTGTCTGAATATTGAATATTATCTGCTTTGTTGCTTTTTTTCTGACTGAGTTGGACGAGGTGACTTTGAACAGTCACTTGTGCGATAGAAGATGAAAGATTGAATTGAGAATGGACAAGTGAGGAGTTTTATTGTTTTCTTTGTACAGGGAGATATTCTTGTTGCTATAATTTCAAATTACATGGTGGATATGGAGTGGTTGCTGTCTAGTGAGTTTTTTCTCACCTTGCATGGTGTTGTTTTTGCTAGTTTAATCTGGTTTGGATTTGCTCGTTTATTTCTTTGTTTGTTGCCTTTTCTGGTGCAGCGTGTCCAACACTTGCAAAAGTTCCTCATGTCATGGTTATTCATGGGGAGGGTGATGGTACATTGGAGCACATGAAGGTTTGATTGTAGATCGTGTTTATAGTTGTCTTCAATTTATGCATTTGAAGATTTATTTTTGGGCACTAGGATTTTGATTTTGGTAGTATTTTATAGAGAAGCAAGCCTAGAAACTGGATTCTTCACAAACCTCAGCTACCCATTTCATTTGGGACACACCATTCAAAGGCCATGTTTCTTGTCTATCCTCGAGGAGTGCGAGTTATTGTACATACAGCAAATTTAAAAATGTTGATTGGAATAACAAAAGCCAAGGTTTGTGGATGCAAGATTTCCCTTGGAAAGAGGAGAAAAACCCAGGAAAAAGATGTGGATTTGAAAATGACTTGGTTGATTATCTAAGTGCATTGAAGGTATAATTATATGTTGGAGGTGAAATGACTAAGAATATTATGCTTATGTACTTCTTTACAAATAAGTTTAATGCTCGTATTTGAATGTCTACAGTGGCCTGAATTTACTGTTAAGTTACCAGACCTTGGGAGCGTTAATATCAATCCATTCTTTTTCAAGAAATTTGATTATAGCAGTGCAGCGGTATGCTATTCAGTCTCTTATCCTTGCTGAATTTCTAGTCTAGGAATGTTATATCTTTATGAACCAAGTTACATAATTTTCAGGTCAGGTTAATTGCATCTGTTCCTGGATATCATACTGGTGCCAATCTAAGGAAGTGGGGTCATATGAAGCTACGAAGTGTTCTACAAGAATGTACCTTTGACAATGAGTTTAAAAAGTCTCCTCTTGCCTATCAGGTATGGTGATTACTAGTATACTGAGTACCAATCACGTGGGACTAGAGAGTGGATGTGACCAGGTGCCAAAGGAAATAACATGTCATCTTAACGAGTAGCTTATCTAGAGGAAAAAAACCAATAATTTATAAGCCTAACTAGTTGATCCATACTATGCAGTGTGCTGATCTTTCTGCGTTACAAATGAGAGAAAGTTATTTGAACTCTACACCGAGCTGTGGATGGAATCTTAGAAAATACTAATGCTGCCATGCACTTTATTCCACTTTGAGAAATCTTATTGAATGGTTTTGTGTTCTCTCCTTGTTTCAGTTCTCCTCCCTTGGTTCTTTGGATGAAAAGTGGATGACTGAACTGGCCACTTCAATGACATCGGGATATTCGGAAGATAAAACACCTCTTGGTCTTGGAGAGCCTCAAATAATATGGCCTACTGTAGAGGATGTCAGATGCTCTCTAGAGGTACTAAGAAGTAGGTCTTTTCTGTGAGCCTTTTCCACTGCACCTTGCATTGTTCTCTGCTGTCTTCGAAAATTTATTAATGTGTGGGTGAAATGTAGGCTATGTTCATCGATCTGTTTGTTAATTTAACACGAGCATTAATACAGACAAATGGAATCAACCATCCCTTTTAACCCAAATGTTTATTTCCAATGAAATGTTTAAATTCAAAGTTATCTTGCCTAGATGACAACTATTTTTATTTCTTATTTATCTTTTGATTGATTTGAAGTCCTACTGCTAGAAAGTAACAAATTTTGTGCCTGTGTAGTTTTGTTAACAAGATATTAAAGACATCATGCTCATAAACGGCCAATTATGATTCAAATCAAGTTCGATGGAAAAAAGTCAAGTTGACTTGGTTTAACCAATCATATTACACATAAGTCTGTAGCTAATTCTATGGAATTTCTTGTAACTCGTGATATGTTGTGTAAATGTGGATCTTGTTTTGCTGCTCTATGAGCTGTTGGAAAGTTAATGTACTGCTTAATGTTATCTAGGGTTAAATGTTAAAAAATGAAGTTGAATAGTTCTATTCTCATCTTGCAAGCTTCGGGGAGTCTATTTAATATTCAGATTTTTCCATTAAAGGTTTGGCTATGCTTTGCACTTATAAAGGACAAATGCTTTTCTCTTATTCTTGTTTTACTTTTTTCTTCAGGGTTATGCTGCTGGAAATGCTATTCCAAGCCCTCTAAAGAATGTGGAGAAAGGATTTTTGAAGAAGTATTGGGCTAAATGGAAGGCTTCCCATACTGGCCGCTGGTATATTTCCATATCATTCCCAGTCACAGTTCGGATTACAAAATGCTAACTCCAGTTATATCTTTTAAATCCATTGCCAACTCTTCGCTTGTTTTCATTCATACCTAAGCTTAAGTTGTGAGCCCATGCATAGTCTCTTTTGCTGCTGCTGCTTCTTCAAACTGGGGAGAAAGACACTTAACTTTGTGTATTTCATTGTTTCAGTCGGGCGATGCCTCATATAAAGACTTTCACTCGCTATAACGGCCAGAAACTTGCGTAAGAGTTACTTTCTTTTACTTTTAATGATTTCTGAAGAGGTTTGCATGGCCCAAAGAAGATTTAAATGACTGCAAGAAGTCGATCCATTTTTTACTTTTGAAACCTGAGTATAAACTTTCTTCCAACAGTTGGTTGTTGCTAACTTCATCAAATCTTAGCAAAGCAGCCTGGGGGGCTTTGCAGAAGAATAATTCTCAATTGATGATCCGTTCTTATGAGGTATGTGCACGAGGGGCTGTACCACCCAAAGGGTTAAAGTTAGCATGGAACATGAAATCAGGAACATGTTTCTCTGAGAATAAGCAAATGTTAACAAAAAGTTGATTTTTTTTTTTTTTTTTTGGTGTATAGTCTTCTTACCTTCTTCGTTTCGTATTTGATGTTTCTGCCTTTTGCTCCTCTAGAACCATTGATGCCTTATTCTTCTTGTGTGGTTCTTTTCAGCTGGGTGTGCTCTTTTTACCATCTTCCATAAAAAGATATGGTTCTGGATTTTCTTGCACAAACAATGGAGGTCCATCTATGGTAATTGCTATATCTGGGCCTTTTGATACTAATTTTATAGTGTGATATATTGACAAGTCTACCCGTTTATAAGAGATTAATTACAAGAAGTTACTGTCTTTGAGTTTCAGGGTAATTGTGGATCATTAGCAGATTCTGAAGAACTGAGAACAAAACTAGTGACTCTGAAATGGCAAGGAACAAGTGATTCAGCATCCAAAGTGATTCCTTTGCCAGTTCCTTACGAGCTCCCTCCTAAACCATACTCCTCAGATGGTCATTCTCTCTCTTCCATTCATTTCTGTCTTTGTCTTTTGTTGCATGCATCTGACTTCTTTTATCATCTTGGCAGATGTTCCCTGGTCTTGGGACCGGCGCTATAGCAAGAAGGATGTTTATGGCCAGGTTTGGCCGAGGAATGTACAACTCTATACTTCTCAGGATTAGTTACATCATTCGTTTGTTTACGGGTCACTTGGATATCTGAATTCCTCTGCACTTCAGATTCTTCCTGCCTGAAATCCTCTTTGTAAATTTTGTTAGAGCAAGGGGAAGAGGTTCTTTTTTTTTTTTCATGGATACTTGGATCATAACGAGTCAGATTTATTTGCGTTATTGAATTACCTCTGCATGTTGGACCATATGTGATTTCAGATGTTTGAACCATAGCTCTTAAAAATGTCTGTAAAACACTCGAAACGAAGCAAACAGGAAAGAAAAATGCTGATGATTTAAAGCAAATGCTCATTGATAGCGATTAATGACTCATGGTTCGATTATAGACTATAAAACGCAAGTTATAGCAATATCTGTTTCTAAACAAAATCAATAATTGAACTCAACAATTAGCCGATTATGTTTCTGCTCGCTGATATGTACTTGCTTTTCCCACCAACCCTTCAGGTTATGGTCAAATTACTTGAGAGGAGGTTCTGAAATCTATTCTTTTTATGTTTTGTTTTATTTGACATGGACAAGCATTTTTAGACTAGTTTGTATATAATTGAGACCAAATTTTTATTCCTATTCCAAACAATTTTAAAGTTAGTCTTTTTTTAATCAATTCCTTTGGTTACTCGTCTTAAAATTGTATTTTTTATATTGACGTGTTGAGAAAAATTTAATAAATGTTCCTAAATGTTTGTTTGAGATTTGAATCCAGGAAGTTTAAATCTAAAATCTAATCTTAGTTTGCTTTCCTGAGGTGTCATTATCAGGGTCTCTCAAGCCCTAAACCTTGAGACGAATGGATTCATCTTATGATTGGTTGATTCTACACTGACATGCTGTTGATGGAACTTCAAGGACTTAAAAAGGTGGAAAATTTGATGCTATTCATAGAAAACACAGCAATAGATTACAAGAGAACTGTGTGCCATTAGATTACTTCGATCTAACAGTAAATCTCACGTGATCCAGCGATATGATAGCTCAAGGCTAATCCTTTCTTATAATCTATTTTTGCTATTTTTCTTTTGTGAAAAAAGAAGAAGAGATTTTCTTTGGTTGAGCTAAGACTTATTTGTTTCTCATTATAGATTTAGTTGTTCTTAAGAAGAAATATTTTGTTCATTATAAAAGAGTGATGCAAGGAAAATAAAAGCAGGGGGATACCATCCATCCCTATCCAAATCCATAGACTTGAAAATAAAACAAGATATCTTTGCCAGCAAGAGTGTCATAGTTTCCCTATGACACCAAAGAATCTCAATCTTTTCAAGACTACAAAATCATTTTTTAAAACCTTCAAAAATCAGTACTAATAAAAATTTATAAACGCCACTGATAACCAAACTTCCATTTCACCATTCATCTCGCTACACAGTTAGACAATATCGCAAACTGTTACAACAATACATAAGACCCCTCTCCTTCTAACCCCACAAAACCTCCATTACCATACCTTATCCACGGCCACCACCATTGGCAATGGATGTCATATTTGAGCCGCAAAAAGGCAGGTCATTCTCCATTGAAGTGGGTTTCTTTGATACAGTCCTAGAGATCAAAGAGAAGGTAGAAAAGTACCAAGGCATACCTATAAACAAACAAACCCTAGTCTTTCATGGCCAAGTTCTTCAAGATGAAAAAGATGTAGAATATTGTGAAATCCTCCAAAACTCTCACATTCAACTCCTTGTAACCCCCGAAACCGATCAAAAACCTCAAATCAAGGTTGAACAAACCTCAACCTCCAATAAAGTTCAACTTCGTATCAAGATTCCATCAAACCAAATGCTTGTCCCTCTTGAGATGGATATGAGTGATACTGTCCTACATCTAAAAGAAAAGATTCGCGAGATGGAGCCAGTTCCGGTTAAAAGATTTGTACTACAATCGAAAGGTGTAGAATTGCAAGATCATCAGTCTTTACATGACTGTGAGTTGATGGATAATAGTGAGATTAATGTGAATGTAAAGCCATCACCAACTGGTTCAGGATCAATAGGGGGCACCACAGGGTCCAAGAAACTGAGGGTGATGGTATTGACCAAGTGTGGGACTAAGAAGATACCGGTCGAAGTGAATGCATCAGATACTGTTGGAGAGCTTAGAAAAGAGTTGCAAAACTTGCAACAGAAAATGCAATTTCATCTTCCACAAGAAGGGTATTTTTTCATTTACAAACAGAATGTTATGGATGATGATCGATCGTTTCGGTGGCACCATGTTAACCAAGGTGATACTATTGAGATCTTCAATGGAAGTGTAACTGGTGGATCTTAGTATATTACTTGATTCTTCCTTTTTAGGGTAATTTTCCTTCTCATCACGTCCTTCAATTTTGCTAGGGTTTTTTGGGTGATGATTTTTCTAGGGTTTTCAAGTGTATAAATCAAGAATCAAGCACTTAGCCTTAGGCTCAGCATGAATATTTTAGTACTCTTAATAGAAGAAGTTATGATCATGTATTGTTATTAAATTTCCTTTTCAACACTTAGATAGCATATATTGCTTTTGTGTTTCGAATTTTAATACATATTGATCATATATGGAAACCTTTGTGATATGAAATTAATTAATTTCACTATTCGAGATTTTGTTCTTGCTCAAGATTAGGATATGTGTTTGCAAAATGTTAAAAATTCGTCATTGTTTATGATATATATTTTCGGATATACTTTCTACCATATTCATATACATGGTGCTTTCTTTAATTTTAATAATTTCTTTCTTTCTTTAGTGTTTTTTTTTTTTTTTTTGGGTTGTTGTGGGGGGTGGGTGGGGTGGTGGATTTGAACAATATTTTCAACTCAATGGCTATTTAATTAGTTTCTCTTTTGTCATCCCTGTTAATGTCTCAAAAGATTTTGCAAAATTAAGAAAGCATCTTCCTTTCGTGCTTTGGGAGTTAATACATGCTTTTATAACCTTTTAATTTGTAAAGTGTAATTGATTTGGTTGGAATTATGGGCACATATCTTTGATATGATAAATTGTGTAAATTTAAAATCAAATTTACTCCATACAAAAATAAATCGTACCTCTATCAATATATTTAGAAGAGGAATTATTCAATAAATCTTGAAATCTTTTAAAAATAATTTTCATAGTGAGTCCTCTATTTATGTGAAAGAAGAGGGTTATAATTGTATAATTATCATTATTAATGGTGGCTGCTAGAAAGCTTGGATCTTACTTTTTAGAAATTTTCTTTTTTATGTATGACAATATTTTTTTTAGGCATAAAAAATGATATTAGATTCGAGTCTTTGTATATATATAAAAAAAATTTAAATAATTATACCCATTTTGTACAATTGATAAAATATCAAAAGATTAGTCTGAATTTTTAAATTTGAGATACCTTACGCATCCAAAAAAAGATAAAATAAAGATATAAATGAATTTATTATGCTTAATTATTCTAAACTAATGAATCCAATCCAATTCAATAATAATCTCTATAAATGAATTGGTTATAAGAAGCTATGTAATTAGAAAATCATATTTTTTTTGTGGACCTCTCTTGATGATTAAGAGCTATTAGCTAGTAAATATTTCCATTAAATGAGTTGGCCTAGTCCAAATTGATATGGGAAAAAAGAAAGAATTATATAATTTCTCTCTCTTTTATTTATTTGTTTTTTTCCTGGAATCATTGTAATTTCTTTTTCAGATGTAAGCATAGGGTGCATGCCTTGACATGTTAATGCAATGAATGATTTTTTTAACAGACAATTCACATCAATTTTCTACCAAACAGAAAAGCATGCAAATTATATTAAATTCGCTTAAGGCCGGCCTTAGTTTCTCTTTAATATGGTAGCTCAGACCTAATCAGCATAAATATTCTGAAACTTCAGATTTTATTTTTTATTTTTGAAACTTCTACTAAATTTGCAGAAAATAAGGTAAGATTTTTTACATTTCTTCTTCTTCTTCTTCTTCTTCTTCTTCTTCTTCTTCTTCTGTCTGCAATGGTACAGTACTTCTATATATATATATATATATATATATATATATATATATATATAACAAAGAATGCACCTTACAAGAAATCAAAATGTCTAACAATTAATTTATCGCTATTTCTTTGAAATATATGGCATTTTGCAGAAAATGAAGGTCAAGATTGTTATCGATGGAAGAAGGCACCCTTTGGAAGTTCCAGATGATGCCACTGTTTTAGACCTAAAAAAGAAAGTCCATGAGATATTTGATATTTCTGCAGGGAAAAAGCAAGAATTCTTTTTCAATGGATTGGTGTTACAAGATCGAAGAACATTGGAAAGTTATCTAGTTGATAATGAATCCGAAATTGAACTCCGAATATATTACAGTGTGTGGATCATCAGTCAACGAAACCGCAAAGAGAAATACCAGTTAAAAGTGCATAAGAATAATTTTGTTTGGGACTTGAAGCAGAACCTCCATGTAAATTATGGTTTAGATATTACAAATATGAGACTCCAAATCAAGCCAAATTCTGACCTTGATGATCGTACTTTATTGTGGGCTAATGACATTACTGATGGCACTAAAATTGTTATAGCTCAATCATGATAAGAAAAGCAAATGGTTCTACTCAAAAAATGATAGGAACAGTGAATAAAGAAAATGCTTCTAATTATTAGGATTTAGGAATGAAATGTACTAGCTGGTCTAAAGCATCTGCAATGGTTATTGAATGCAATAAAAGAAGTTAGTTAGTTTTTTTTTTTTTTTTTTTTTTTTTTTTTTGCGTATAAAAAAGAATTATCATGTTGACCAGCAGATGTGAGATTTATGATCAAACAATTTTTAATATTGCACAAATTAATTAACCATTGTATATATGATCGCATTTTTTTTATTAAGGTATCCCTATCACACATTAGAGGTATGATTAATTATGCTTGAAATAGGAACAACAACTTCAGAATTCAAAACGACGCATTAGGAGAAAATTCATCTTAAAACGAGTTCGTTGACTACTAGACCAACAACTTATCGGTCTAAAGCATCTGCAATGGTTCTCCAATGCAATAAAACAAGTTATTTTTATTTCTTTGATATATATACATATTCTTGGGCCCACAAACCACATGCTTGTTTTGATTTTTGATTTTTTTAAAATAAATATACTTATATGTTTTTATATAATACTCGAATTCTCCCATATATATATTCTTAGGTTTCTAATGTCATTCTGATCAATTTCAATCAAATAAAATTTTTATGACTACAATAGCCTTGATTAAAAAAAAAAAATCTTTTGACTTCAAAAGTCATGTGAGTTTAATTATTTTTTGTTTTTTTCTAGCAAAAGGTATTTCGGTCTTCATAGTTAAAAAATTTGGTTGGATGAACATATTGAATATTTTAATTAAAATTTTTCAAAAACTGATGGGATGCAACTGAAAATTTGGGAATATATGAGAAATTGGTATATTTACTCTTTTTGAAACTTAATTCTTAAATTTCCTATTAATTGCATGAGTAAATTATAAATTAGTTCTGTTTTTTAGAAACAAATTAATTAGTTTCATTTTTTTTTGAAAACTAATTATTTAGTTTTTTAATCAATGTTAGCTATTTTAATTTAATATTAATTTACTTGAAAAATATCATTTTTCATTGATCTTTCATATTCTTTCTTTCTTTTTTATTTATTAAAATAAAAAAAATATATAATTAATTAAAAAGAAACAAAAATGATTAAACTACAAGAGAGATTAAAAATATAAAAACTAAATTAATAATTAGTTTTTGAAACTAAAAGGATTAATTAATTCCGTTCTCCAAACTAGAGGGACTAATTTATAATTTACTGTTAATCTCACGTTGTCTAGGACATCTTTCATTTCATATTAACTTCATGTTGTCTAGCATAGGGAACAAATCAACCACTCAATTAATTCACGTCTTTTTTCCCAGAACAAAACAGCTAGCATACAATCATCCATCGGAAACTAACCATGCATCTTGATAGAATGATCATAGAGTTTTAAAACCAAATAACAGATCTCTTGCTAATCCTTTCTAACATATATATTAGCTTGGTATTAATTTTTGTTTTTTTTTATGGAAAAGCTTGGTATGTATAATATCCCAAAATTTGCAGCTGCCAAAACTAAGGTGATAATTTTATTTTCTTACTATGGTTTTTTTCTTTTTCCTAGCCATAGTTTTATGCTACTAAAAAAGATTCAAAAGTGTGATAATTGGCTTTTCCACAGACGACCATGCAGCTTAACGTTGTTTATGGTCACCAAGAACATCAGCTGCAGATTGCAGATGACGCTACCGTTTTCGACCTCAAACAGATAATCGACCTGATGATTGGCTTGCCAGTGGAGAAACAACAACTAAGATTTGATGACATTATACTACACAATCACACTCCGTTGCAATGCTACCGATTCGGAGAAGACGCTACGATCCTTCTCCGAGACCTCTACGAAATCTTTTTCGAAGTCGAGAAGGAGCAGTTTAAATTATATGTTCATCAGAATAATACATTGAGGGAATTGAAGAATATGCTTCATTTAAATCATGGTATTGTCATTGCAAATGATATGACACTAAGATCAAATGTCCTTGGCATAGATATTTACATCAATAGTGATAATATTGAAATCTGGGCTTATCAAATTTTCCCTGGCACTGTCATACATGTTGATTATGAAGATAGTTAAGATGTTGCGCCATGATTTAATAGAAAAAAAAAGGAATATATAAGCTATGTGTTAGGATTTTTTATAAAATAATTGTTGAAAGGTTTTTATGAAATGCAACAAATAAGTTGGTTTACTCTTGTTTTTTCCTAGTTGTTTATCCTCAATCCTAATTTCCAATTACAATGATTAATTTCCTGTGTCTAGAATTTAATGTATTTTTTTTTTTTATGAACTATCTGGGTTTTTCTTTTTGGACAAGATGGTTGGAAACAGAGTACAACGTAGAAGTTCCGGGTTATTTATGAAAATGTTCTAATTTTGGGCCTTCAATTAACAAACAGTTCATGATACAAATATATTTGATTTTTACCCAGTAAAAGAACTCAAATGATGTGGTAAGTTATCACATAGATGGCATCAAGCTTAACTTTTATCCAGCAATTAGAATGCTAGGATCATTTTCCTGAGGAAAAAAAAAAAAAAGGAAACAAGAAGAAGAAGCTGAACCAAAAGATTTTTTAATATGGTTCATTGGAATTGTGATTGGAGCACATCAGTCCTCCTTGGAAATTTCTGCAACTGAAATTTTTTGGATGTAATTGCATTGTCAGCGCATAATAACTTGGATTTACAAACATTCGTTTTTTCAACTTGGCCTTAATAATTTTAGTTTAATTTTTTATTAACCAAACTCAAATCGAAATACTATGTGGTTTTTTTATTTTTAATTTTAGTTTAAGTTGAAATTTTTTTCTGAATTTTTTATTTTTTTAAATAATATAAATAGACCAAAAATACTATCAATTTATCATCATCATTATCATCATCATCATCATCATCATCATCATATATATATATATATATATATATATATATATATATATATATATATATATATATATATTGAATAAGAGATGATATCGTGGAGGAGAAAACTTATTTATCTGAATCAATACTTCAAAAATTCAAGTAAAAAATGAAATAGGATTTTCATGAAATTACTTGACTACCAACAAAGCCAGATCAGTAAGAAAAAGAAAAGTCTTTTAGAATATTTTTTTCAATGGTACGTAAGAGTATTTTTAGATAAGTTTATATATAATTAAAACTATGTTTGTTTTCAGATTAAGATAATTTTAAAGGCGTATTCTTGTATCGATTTGATACATTAAAAAAAAAATTAATTGTTAATTCTAAAATTTTTACCTATTTTTTCAAGAAAAATAAATCACAAACATCTTATTATAGATAAGTGTCTAAAATTCTAAATTGCCCACCACAAGACACATAACATGTCATGCATTCATCACATCTAATAAATTCACACTTAAACCATGTCGAACAATCGAAAGTCTCATTTTCTTTTTTCTTTTGAATAAACAAGCAAACAAACGCACACTTGCCTAGCTTGACATGTCAATAGAATGATCTTTCGACAGTCAATTCACATTTTTCTACCAAACCAGAAAAGCATCCAAATCATATTGAAATTATGCTTAAGAAGATGATGGTTCTAGCTGATCAGAACTAAGCAGCATACATCTAAAACTTCTCAACTTGGAAGAAAAACAAATCGTGGTATGTTTTTTCCATCTAATTTGATTTTCTTAAACTATATATATATATATATATATATATATATATTGTACGTATTTTCACTTGCTAAGTATATAGCTTCATGTCATGCATGATAAATTTTTGAATACAAAATGTGGTTTTTGGCAGATAATGGAGGTCAAGGTTATTATTGATGGTACAAGGATCCCTGTAGGACTTCCAAATGATGCAACTGTTAAGGACCTGAAAGAGGCAGTCCATGATGTGTTTAATTTTTATGCAGTGAAGAACATAGAGCTACATTTCAATGGGGTAGTGTTGGAAAACGACACAAAATTAGAAACTTATCAAGTGGTCAATGGTTCTGAAATTTCCCTCCGATTACTTTATACAGTTGGGATCGTTGGAAAAAACCCTAATGGGCAATACAAGAGATATGAGGTAAGAGCCCATCTGAATAATACTGTTGGGGAACTGAAGCAGAAACTCCATGTGGATCATGGTTTGGACATTACCAATATGAGATTCCAGATGAAGCCAACATCTTACCTTGATGATCGTACTTTCTTGTGGGCTAATGAAATTACTGATTCCTCAGATATTTATATAGCTGAGGATTAAGCAGCTTTCATGTTTGAAATGAAGCTAATTGGCTAAATTGCTGATCGAGTTGTTTGCATCTTTTACGTTTCAAATAAAGCCAATGGGCTAAATAGGAGTAGTTAATAAAGGAAGTGGGGGAGTTTAGAGAGAAATAAGAGTAGATTATTTAAAGCTTGCAATGATTTCTCTCCATTATCATTATATGGTATTTGGATGAATTTGGAATAAATAAGTTGAATTTCGAAAAATAAAGTAGTATATGTTTAATTTGTATGGATGAACCATGATCATTCCTTTCCATTATTATCCTACCATCTTGTTACGTTTTTCGAATATTTCGTTGCCAGAACAGAAAAACATTCAATTATCAGATTGAAACTACTCATCATGCATATACCTTGATAGCATGATCATCCTTTGATCTTTTCTATTACTGGATATTTTCTTTTTTAGCTTTTCAATGCTTAGCCATATATGTTCCATAATTTATTTTAGAGTAAACTAGTCACTTGCCTACGCTACGATGCGAGTCCGATAAAAAGAATCATTTAAAAATTTTTTAATTATAATTTTTTATTCACTTAATATTTTAAATTTTCTTTAAAAAAATAAATCATTCTTCTTTATGAATTGATTTTAAAATATGAAATATAATAATTTTAAATAAAATATTAATCAAGAATTAAAAAAATTTTAAAATATAATTCTCATAGTATTGTATTAAAACAAATGAAGTTATAATTAATGGATAGACTTTTACAAAAATTAACAAATGAGAAAAAAAATTCTTATTTAATTTTGATGAGAAGATAATTTTTGAAATTATTTGCGCAACGCCACGGGTAGATAAAACAAAATTATTTTAAAATTTTATAATTTTTTATTAGTTTTTTATTTAATTATTACAATTTTTTTCATAAAATTTTTGCTTAAAAAATATGATTTATTCTTTTTTATTCAGGAATTCTTAAATAAAAACTTTTAATAATTTAAACCTTAAATATTAATTAAGAATTCAAAAGCAAATAATTTAAAACTATATATTTTTTATAATAATTTATCAAAAAAATAAAGTTACAATTAATGTATAGATTTGCATAAAAATTAACGAATGAAAAAATAAAATTTTATTTTATTTACTATTGGTGAGAAGATTATTTTTTTCAAGTATATGCATTAGATCTATATATATTTATTTACAAAATAATAACTAGAATTAGCATAAGAAATTGTATTTGAATAATTAGTTGATTCCTTTAAAAAATTATTTTAATTGTTTTATTCTAAATAAATTGATTCTATAATGTTAAAAAAGTATTCATGCTAAATATTTTGTATTAGGTTGGAAGATATATAGTTAATTCCAAATAAAATCAATGGTTCAATATGTTTGAATTTTAGAATAAAATTTTAAAACATAGAGAAAAATAAATTATAATTATCAGTAAATAAAATATTATATAAAAAAATATTAATTGGATAAGAATTTTCATAAGAAATGATAAATTCAAAGAATGAAATTTAAATTATAAGAGTAATATAAGCTGAAATATATGTTAATTTTAAAATATAAAAAAGATAGTGTGTGTGTGTGTGTGTGTGTGTGTGTGTGTGTATGAAAACCCATAATAAAAAAATTTTAATATAAAATTTAGAAAAAAAAACATCATATTTTTTTTCATTATATTGCATCAAAAAATAAATAAATAAATAAAGCAACAATTAACATAAAAACTTGTATAAAAATTAACAAATGAAACTTTTTATCGATGAGAGTATTGTTTTTTGAAATATATACATTTGATTTACATATATTTATTTACAAAATAATGAATAATATTAGTATACAAAATTGTATTTGAATTATTAGGCAATTATTCTAAAATATTATTTCAATTATTTTATTCGAAAAAAATCATTTTAAATATTAAAAAAATAATAATAAATAGTTGGTATTGTGTGTATAGATGCATAGTTGCTTTATAATAAAATCAATGACTCTAATATTATTATTTTTTATACATCATGACCATACTCAATAGGTAAGAATGTATAAAATAAACTGTAAAATATTTTTTAAAAATTAAATAGTAAAATATATATTGAAGTTAATAGAGTACATTAAAAACTATAAAAGCTGATTTCAATAAAATTTGATTATATAAAAAATAAGAAAATAAAATACATATATTCAATTTTTTAAATTTCATTATATAAAATTAAACAAACAAAAAAAGATACAAAAAATAAAAAACTTATTTGAAACCATACATAGAGAAAATAAGTCATATCTATTAATAAATAAAATTATATAAAGAACAAGAATAAAAATTAACTTGTTGAGAATTTTTATTGAAAAGATCAATTTGAAACAATAATAGTAGTTTATTTATTCTAAAATCTTAAAACACATCATATAAATGTAAAACAAATTCATACATATTATATAATTGTCACTTTATGTAAAAAAAAAAAAAAAGAATAACGATTGATTTTTTAAAATTTTAACAACTATAAAAAAAAAAATTGATGGAAAAAAGCAAAGGAAAAAAAAAGAAGAAAAAACATGTGTAAAACATCAGCTAGGGGATTAAATTTTTTATTTTAAAATTTTAGAGTCAAAATAAAATAATCTGAAAATTTTAAAAAAATTAAATAAAAAAGAACCTAAATTGATGAAAAAAAGGAAAAAAAGACATGTATAGTGAAAAAAAAGAATATATCTTATAAATATAAAAAAATCATATATATAAATTATATAATAGTCAGTTTGTGTAAAAAAATAATAACGATTGATTTTTTAAAATTTTAACACCTAATTAAATATAAAAGAATACAAATTGATGGAAAAAAGAAAAGAAACATATAAGTGTAAAAATATCGTATAGATTATATAATAGTTAGTTTGTGTAAAAAAAAATAATGATTGATTTTTTAAAATTTTAACACCTAATTAAATAAAAAAAAACATAAATTGATGAAAAAAAAAGCAAAGAAAAAACCATGTGTAGTGCAAGAGTTAGGGGATTAAAATTTTTATTTTAAAATTTTAGAGATCAAAATAAAACAAACATGAAAATTTTAAAAAGTTAAATAAAAAAGAACCCAAATTGATGGGGAAAAAAAAGCAAGGGGAAAAAAAGAAAAAAACACGTATAGTGAAACTAAACTTAAAAAAAAAAAAAAAAAAAAAAGAAAGCTGAAAACACATTGCTTGTAAAAAGTGAAATAAAGGTCGGGAGAGGGGGAAAAAAACAATAATGTGTTTTACCAAAAAAAAAAAAAAAGAAAGAAAGCTGAAAACACTATTCATTGAACCGTGAAATGCACAATGAATGTAAGTAGAATAAAGGTCAAGAGAGGGAAAAAAAATAATAAATTGTTTTACTTAAAAAAAAAAGAGGCTGAGAAACACTGTTCATTGAAGAGTGAATATTCAATAAATGTGCTTTATGTTTTAGAGTATTAGTAATTATTATTTAGTCTCTCTGTTTTTAGCAAAATAGTTAGTTAGTTCCTCTTGTTTAATAAATCCAATATCAAATCCCTATGTTTTATCTTTTTTTCATCTTTTTCTTTCAAAATGTTTTGCTTTTAGTATGTTTTTATATTATTGGCTAATTAATAGGTACAAAAAAAATATTCATATTCATATATTAATTATCTATTAACATAAATAAATAATACTATATTATTCATATGCAATCAATTACCTATTGAAATATTTTAATCAGTAATTAATAAATTAAATTGGATATAGTATGTATTTTGTATCCAGCTCATTGTAATCTCTTGTCTTTTTATCCATTTGAGTTTAAGAAATTATTTACACAAAAGAAAATTTGATATTAGCTAGAAGAATACTGACTTACGAGAATCCATAAGGATGGGTCATTGATTGATTTGCAATAAAAACTTGTGTGTATGATCTCATCTTCCATAAATATGCAAGAATCTCTTTTCTCATTTTTACGGACCGTTAACGGGACTCATAGTCCTGTTCTAATTGATAATTCCGTCGAATTGGCTTGATAATTACGTCGAGTTGGCTATACAAGAATTTATTTAACCTGCACCTAAAAGCTATGAGTTGGATTTTTCGTCATAAAAATAATAACAAAGACAATACTCATGAGGTCAGTGGGTGCTTGATTTGATTTGCATGAACTAGCACACACTTGTTTCATATAAATTTCATGTTGTCTAGCACAAAGAACGAACTTCCACAAGCCTTTTGCCAGAACAGAAAAGCATTCAATAATCCCATTGAAACTACCATGGATAGCATGATGATAGAGTCAAGAACCAAATAACAAATCTTTTTAATTCAGTATTAATTAATTTAGTGGAATATAATATCTCTCAAAATTGAATCCGGTAAAAAACCAAGGTAATATTTTTATTTATCCTTTCCTACAATTGTTTCTATGCTCCATAAGTAATTTTAAGGTAATTAAAATGACTAATTTTGCAAATAATTGGCTTTATCATAGACCATGAAGCTCAAGGTTGTTTATGGTGACAAAATCTTTTGTGCGGACCTTGAAGTCGATTCTACCGTTTTAGAACTCAAACAACTCCTTGCAGAAAATGTTGCCTTGCCGGTCGAGAATCAACAACTAGATTTTGATGACATTATTTTGTCTAATCACACTCCATTGAAACATTATAAAATCGATCCTGACTCTTGGATCCTTCTCCGAGATTTGTATGAAATCTTTTTCGAAACAAACACTCAAGATGGACGTGGGATCCGAAGGTTTAGACTATTAGTCCATCAGAATAATAAGTTGAAGGAGTTGAAGAATATGCTTCATCTGAGACATGGTTTTGTCATTGAAGATAATATGACACTAAGAGTAGAGTGCCCCTTCGGTCATATTTACGCTGATAATGACAATAGGGAAATTTTCGAGTATCAAATTTTCACTGGCATTGTCATACGTATAATTAATAATTAATCTGCCATGAATTTGACATAGTAGAGGAAAAGAAAGTAATAAGTTATGGCTTGTTGGAATGATTAAACTTGATGCTACTTTTTGTGCATCAGTACAAGAATTAAAATGGTTAGTCTGAGTTTTCTTTTTTCTAGATTTTTTTAAAATAAAATTAGGGGCTTATAATAATTTTAGGGAGCCATGTAAAAAAAAAAAAAACCGATTATAAGACTATGGGTTGCATTTGATATTTTTCGAAAAAAAAATTGGAGGTGCCATCAGTCATGAGCATTATGACCATTGGCATAACGCAGGTCTATCCCGGAAACTCAATCCACTGAATTAAATAAGACTATAAAATGATTAGGACTCCTAAATTTTACGTTATTTGAGATGAGTTCTTAATTTTTTTTTATAATTTTGAATATTTTTAAACTTTTTTTTTCAGAGTTATCTCATTCTTTAGTTTTTTTTTTTATCATTTATCTTAAAAAATAACAATTACAAAAATAGTTTCATGATAAAAATAATTCATTAAAAAATTTGGGATCATTTCAGAGCTCTTTTACATTTTTTCCAATTTTTTATATTTTTAACGTGTGAAAAAATAAAAAATAAAATATAGTTTTCAATTTTGCAAAATTCTGAAATTTTTCTACAAAAATAGATTAAATGTTTGCAAAATTTCAGGTTAAAATATCAATAATTGAATTTTTGAGAGGAGAGAAAATGATAACTGAAAATCATTGGATGAACTAAATTTTAAAAAATTAAAAGTCAGGGATTTTCAAACTAATAAAAAAGCTTAAGGACTTAATTTTAAATAACTTAAATTTTAGGAATGGTAAGACAATTTTATCCATTAAATAACCATAGATGGCATAATCTCAACGATTCATAAGGTATGCTTTTCAATATCTTATACAAGATAAGATTAATTTCAAGGGAAAAAAAATAGTAATCTAAAAAAATGACTGATTCTCTCATTGTCATTGCAAAAGTGAGAGATCACAATAGTGCAGCTATACGGTCATGCACAAGATCCATATTCTTCAAAAATTACAAAACTTGATGAGTTAATTTCCAGGGTTTTTCCTACTGATGATCAGCAAGCTAACATTGATTTAGAGGCCTGTCCCAATCTTTTCATACGTACTGAACCATTTTCTCTCATATCAATTAAAATCTAATTACTATTAACCTGAATGTTTTGCATGTAATGTTTTTCATACTGAAAACTTAAATGGTCAATGAAAGCTTGGTTTCATGCTAAATTCATGTTGTTTAGTATAGTTAATACATAAATTAAATTACTTAGCATAGAGTTCAAGAATTTAAGAGTTAACCGATTCACATATTTTCTACCACAATGAAATCACATGGAAATTAGCCTGACATCCTCAAGGCATGATCATATGGTTGAACTATAGCAAACAACTGTTTTTCATTTCTCTTCGTACAATATCTCCGAATTTCATTTGTCAGAAGCTAATTAATTAAGGTGATAACTTTGTTTCCCTGTTATATTAAATACATGCATTTAGGTTCTTTCAGAATTCTTGTATTTTCCTTGCTTAATTACCATGCTCAAATTTGTGATTATTTTTTTCGCAGACCATGCACCTAATCAAGATTGTTTATGTTAATGCAAAGGAGTATGATATGCTGGTTGGAGATGATGAAACCGTTTTGGAAATCAAAAATCGAATCTATTCTTTGTTTGGCAAAGAAATTCCTGTGGAGAAACAACAACTAGAGTTTAATGATCTAGTGATGCAAGATGAAAATACAATGCAATGCTATGAAATTGATAATTATGATAAAATCATAGTCCGAAAGATGTATGGTATTAGTGTCTTTCGTCCCTTAAACCTATTAAGTGGACTGTCCAATCAACGGTATGGACTAATTGTTCATAAGGATTATACTGTTAGGGACTTGAAACTGATGCTTCATAGACAGTATGGCTTTGACTTTACAAGAATCCAACTCATACTGCCAAATCTTTCCGATAATTATCTTATGGATAGTGTTAAAATTGAGGATTATGGCATTGTTGCTGGAAGTACTGTAGTATGTCTTTGAAAATTAGCAAATATATGCTATATTTGTTATAAGATGAGATTATATGGATATGCTGTGCAAGGTCTTTCTTTTTCTCGAACAATATGCCCCATGTTATTAAATGATCAATAAAACAACATATTACTCTTGTTCTTTCCATTTTATGCTTTGAGATCCAAAAGTCCATTTGCCAAACAGGAAAAATAAACCATCTTTGATATGATCTAACAATAAAGGAATTATCCTTTGATCAAAATTAAAGTTCAATTTTCACTATATACGGATAACTGATTATAATTATTTTTTAATAATGCAAGATTTAAGCTAATTTGATCTAAGAAAAAGGTTAATTTAGCATAAAAAATGATGGACTTAATCTTGATTAATTCAAAAATATCATATATATATATATATATATATATATATATATATATATATATATATATATATATAATCATTTTGGAGTAAAGATTTGCTATTCGCACACACTTTGGTGTGGGTATTTTGTTATAATTATGAGGGTTTTTACACTTCTTGCTATTAATAACAATTTATTTCGATCGAGTTATAAAAAAACAATGAATAGATTACGAGAGTTATTAAGGGAGTTTACCTACGAGATATCTATTGAAAATAATTGATAATTTTTTTAGTAAGTAAATTTTATAAAATAATTATATAAGAATAGAATTATTTTAAACGTGTGCTTCTCCATGCATGAGATATGGTGTCTAGCCTATGGAATTTATTTCAAACTCCAAAACTAAAATGACACAAAATACTAATATAAATTGAGATATATCATTTCATAGTTTTTTTTTCGTAAGAATAGAATTTAATTTTTAGTAAGTAAATTTTATAAAATAATTATATAAGAATAGAATTTATTTCATGAGGCATGACCAGATACATCATTTCATAGTTGTTTTTTTTTTTTTTTTTTTAAAGAAAGAAGAAGTTTAAATTCGAAATTTTTTAATGAATTGACAAGTATCATTCAATTTTGTCAAGTGTACGGAAAAAACTAAATCACATGATATTAGGATCGAGCATGTTAACAGGCCATTCACATCTTTTATACCATATTAGAAAAACACCTAAATCACATTTTATATACCTTTGCATCCTGATGGCATGAGCATACGATTTACAAAGCAAATACTAACCGATTTTCATCATTTTTTCCTCATATATCTCCTAACAACTAAGTGGCATACACCACCAAAATTTCAGCAGCTGAAAACTAATTAATTAGGCATATAGTTTTGCAGACCATGCAGGTGAGGATTGCTTTCAATGATACAGAGTACAACGTGGTGCTTGCAGATAATGCAACCGTTTTGGCCCTCAAATATCGACTTCATGATATGTTTAGCCTCCCGACATCGGCACAAGAGCTAGAGTTTAATGGATTTATTCTTGAAGATCTTGAAACAACATTGGAAAGTTACCATATTGCAAATAATGCTAAAATAATTCTTCGAGAGATATTTGTTATTTCAGTGCATGTGGTACAGCTAGTTGAAGATGGAAAACCCGACCCCAACGAACAATTTCCTATACCGGTCCATAAGGAATATACCATTGGGCACTTGAAGGAGATACTTTCTGTAAGGTATGGCTTGGACTTTTCAAATATGAAAATAGGACTCTCCAAAATGTGGAATACTGATCTTGATGATTGTACTCAAATTGGGGCTTACAATCTTCGTGATAGAAGTAGATTATATGCTTTTAAAATGTATTAACCAGCTGCTGGGTGGTGAATTTATCTTATGAGATGCATTGGCAGCATGAATGCATGAGCTAGCTAGGTTAATTTGGTTAGTTAAATGTGTAAGGGTTATATTATTGCAATAAAATAAGTGATTTCACTCTTATTTATAATTTTGCTGTTGTTTTATGATTCTAACTCTATTATTTCTAATGGGTGAGTACTGCGTCTAATATTCATAATGCATTCGTAATAAGATTGTGGATGGGGTAAACTCAATCCTTTGATAATCAGCAAAACAAAGTCAAATATTTTTAGAATGAAGATATAATGTTCAAGAAAAAAATTGAATGTAAGTCTAACTACCATTTCATTCTAAGTTCTTGCAAAATCGTTCGTTATATCAAGAGGGAAAAAATAAAAATAAAAGAATTTTTGTGTCAACATGCATGATTGATTATTTAATTGTCATTATAATTAAAAAGAGAGAAGTGACGGATTTTTTTATTTTTTTGTAAGAAAGTCAGTATTTTTTATTAATAATATATGAATTGATACAAAATAAAATACTCTCTTAACATTTGTTACAATAAAACAGATATCATACAAATCTTCACAATTTTAGGTAATCTTTGTTTTTGAGATAACATAAGGTGCTTTCATAGACAAAAAATAGAGATCTCTGGACTTTTCGAACCAAGATTTCCTAAAATAAAACTTTTCTTCTAAATCACGCATGTATCTGCTCTTTCTACCAAAGATAAATGAAATAACAGACCGCACTGTCATGACCATCTTTTTTAAAAAAATCACAAAACTTTTATTTAAAAGACCTAATCTTTCTGATCTATACAAATAAAATTCTCGTTTAAAAAGAAAATCATATCTATAAATTAGATTTGCAAAGACAAGGCCTGATGATAGAAAATAATTGAAGAATTAAAAAAAAAAAAAAAAAGCCTCATGCATTTCAAAGAAAACAAGAAAAAATAAATAAATAAAGTATTGTCATCCGACTAAAACAAAAAATCTGACGACAGTCCAAACTAAAATTTACGTAGAATTGTTTTGTTGGAGAAAGAAAGGAGAGAAGAGCCAAAACAAAGGATAATTGAGAATTCACTATTAGGAGGGGCATTCTAGTTTTCTACAATGCTTTTAGAAACCTTGGCTTATTCTATTTTTATCAGATATGGAATTTTTCAAAATATTTTTTTAATTCTTCATATGTGATTTTTTCCAAAACAAATCATTGTAATACTGAACATTAGATTCCAAAATATTCGGGATGAATACTAGATTTTGGACCTTGCCGATTAAACTATAATTATATTCAATCATCCATCAAAATTTTTAATTTGGCCTTCGAATTTTTCCAAAAGTTCCATGGAAGCTACCCAAAAGAGTAACAAAAATCACGGCACCATTTTAGGAAATGGATCCTAACTTGCAAGTAAATGATTACTTTTATACTCAATATAATAGACTTGAAGACTTGAAGAGAAATACCTTTATGTGTTTAGTTAAATAGTTTCGGTTTTGAGTATTTATATATATATATAAAACTTCTTAAATAGTTGTATTCATTTTGTGCATTTGATCGAATAGCGAAATGTTAATATGGATCTTTGAGTTTAGGACATTTTATACTAAGGATCCAAAAAAAAAAAATACTTTTATTTATCAAAACATTAAAACGAATATGTCTCGCTAATTTGAAACTTTAATCATCCATATAAATCCAAAATTAATACTCTATTACAAATTTAATGTAGAATAATGATAGACTCGTGATTTCTTGCAACTTCTAATATCCTCATTGAATGATCGAACTTTGTAATTTAATATGAGGCTAGTACCATATATATTAATTTGGTCATGTGACTTTACGATTTTGTCCTTCAAAAAAATTAAAATTTTGAATTTATTTGATATTAATTCACAGACTGAAAAAATAAAAATAAAATTGGCATGTATCAATAGTGAGATGAAACCAATTGGGAGCAATTTGCATGTAAACAATTTAACAGGCAATACACATCTAGGTTAGAAAATTAAGCATTCAAATCAGATTGAAACCACCCTTGCATGTAGATGTCATGATATCATACAATTTAAACAGCAAATAACAAATAATCTTATTCAGAAGAGAACTAATTGATACACATCTCCATTCTAATAGTCTGATCAGCCGCTAAAAATTAATTAACAATGGTGAAATTTTCATTTTTCTCCTTTAATTATTGCATGCATTCAATTTTTTTTTCACTATGGTATTTACTTGCTTAACAATAAATGCTCATAATTAATTTTAAGCTAATTAATCGAAATTTTGATCAAATGTGTGATTTTTTGGCAGAGGAAGCAGGTCAAAATTGAGTTCAATCATGAAAAATCTCCATTTATGGTTAGTGATGACGAAACTATTTTCAATCTTAAAACTGGAATCATTGATTTGTTCGGTGTGGAGAGGTCAAAGCAACAACTCGAGTTTAATGGGGTGGTACTGGAGGATGAAAAAACAATTCGAAGTTATCACATTGAAGAAAATGCTAAGATCATTCTCCGAGAGATGTATATGATTCGGATAAATTATATAAATCTACAGTTACCTGCACGATACATGAGCTACAACATGTACGTCCACAAGGATAATAAAATTCAGGATCTGAAGGAAAAGCTTAACGAAAATAATCAATTCGATTTTACAAATATGACTATCAGAGATCCTGAATTGAATAAACTTGACGATGGTAATACTCTTGAATCATATAATGTTGGTGATAATAGTATATTACTTGTTTGGTGACACTAACTAAAAAGCTTGTCTTATGATGGTAGAAAAAATAAAGCATAAGTTATGCTAGTATGAATTAGTAAAATGTACTAGATGTTTAAGATTATTGGATGAAATAAAATAAATCTATTTGCTCTATTTTTTTTCCATCTTTGTTAATTTAATTAAGGGTTAATACCCTCATATGTCTTTATATAATAAGTCAAAATTTTATTATGTTTCTAAAAAAAAGCACTTCTAATTTGTTCTTATATTTTGATCTGATTTGTAATTTATCATTTTAATTAAAATTTTATGCTAAAATAATTATGAGCTAAATTAATTATGTGATTTGCACTTGTTATATGATTTGATAAAATTATCTTTGTTATTTGACACAAGTGATCTATATCAAATAATAGGTTTAATGAAATAAAAAATTTTCACATTTTATTATGATTTGACAATTTCATATCCTTAGGTTGTGTTCATTTAGAGGAAGACAAGTTCCGGTAACTTGTTTTTCTCATTTTTCAATGTTTGTTTCGCGTTTAGGAAAAAAGTCAACGAAAAAATGATAGAGTATTTCGAAAAAATATTTTCCTTCTTATGAGTCGTCTCGCTCTCGCATTACTTACTTCTCTCTCGATATATTTTAACAATTTTTTTCTCTATCTTCTTTTTATTTAAAATATATATCAAATTAATTTTTAATTACACTTTATCAATTATTTAATTATTTTTTTTCTATTTCTACTAATATTTGATTTTTTTTTATTTCTAGATACATTAAATATCCTTAAAACTCATTTTTAAACCTTAAAATTATTTTTTTACTAATCCTTAAAAATTATTTTATAATAAATATTTCAATAATTTATCTCTATTTTTTTTACTATTATCTCGGACACCACCTAAACTATACTTAAATGATTGAAAATGATTATTATAAGACTATAAATTTTTATTAAAAAAATTAATTAATTCATTAATAAAAACATTATTTTTCCAACACTATTCATTTGCAACTAAATCAATAATTTATAATTTTAATTAGTCGTAAAATTTTGTTAGTAATTGTAGTGAATAATTTGTTACAAATTATTTCAACATTAATCTTTTGAATCCAAATGAATATTTGTAATAACCCAAAATTTGCTCATTTATTTATTTATTTATTATTTATGTTTATGTTTATTTTTACTTATTATTTATGTCTTATTTTATTTATTTTTATTTCACATTTGGAGTTTACTACACAAAACCAAAAAAATAATTAAAAAATGATAAAAGATTAAAAAAAAAAAGGAATGTAATAAAATGCAAGAAATGGGAAATAGGTAGAAAATACAATAACACTCATCCAGGGGCACAATTGCATTTAAAAGTATATATAATTGAGGTAATTAGGAGTATAATAGAACCAATTGAAAAATTCAGAATCTAAATGGCACCCTACGGGGACTCAATTGATAAGATTGTGTCCTATAAAGACTGAAATTATACCATAGAAGGGCATGATGCTGATAATTGAAGTTCACGGGGACCAAACTGAAATTTTAGAGCAAACAATAGGTCTTCAATGGAGAGGACGACCTGTCATCCACTCCAATGTAGATTCTCTCGGAAAATCCACCAAATTTCCTATTTTGATTTTGCTTTAATCATGGGTTCTTAACCAAAATCAATACCAACGAGAGAATCGAGCAATCACGGATTGCTTTCCTTGTTGGTTAACTAACCGAATCAAATCCGAGATGTTGGTATAAAAATTTAGGATTTGATGGTTGATTCTAAGAGAAATTCAAGAAAATTTGTGGCTATAAAAAGGGTTTGAATTCACGGACGAAAAAGAGGAGAAAAATAGAGAGGAATTCTGTTTTGAGAGGGAGTGAAAATCAAAGATTTTCTATGGGGAAATAGTTGCTGCATTGTCGTGGGTTTTCTAGGCGATGACGAGTTTGTTCTTCATTGTTCTTCACCTCGGATTTCGATTTCATCTTTTTTTTGGACTCGTTGCTTGATCTTTACGGGTTTGGGTGCAATTACCACAATTCTTTTAACCTTAATTTACGGGTTTGAAGTTTCAATTGACATTTTTTGGATTTTCCATCAAATTTTCTCAGGCGTGCGTTGTTCTTTGTTCTTGACGTTCTTTAAATTTACGGGTTTATAACCTTCAAGTTTTTGAATTTTTCAATTTTCTTTGTTTCGAACAAGGGAAGAATAGGATATCAAATCATCATTCTCGCCCTACACAATCGGATATCATGCAATCTCTTCTTCATACACTCGCAAACAAATCAATCACATCAACACAAACGAGACCCCATCACTCCCGTTCGTCCAGAGCATCGCTCAAGTAACTAATCTTGAACTTTTCGTTTGTTAAATACCTAGGTCCTTTTCCATTCAAGCAAAAGGAAGGATTAGTGATCGAGTCATTGGCCCTTGATAAGTCCTCTTCCCCAATCCTTGGGAGTGTCATACTCGCGTCATCACAACAACCAATTTTTGGAACTTTAGTTAGGGGGACAAAATGAGAGGGTGAAAGTGAGTGCGAGGGAGAGTAGAGCGAGGAGGATAAAAAGAAAAGGGCTAGATTGCAATCGGAATATCGTCCGACATACCGATTGTGTCAAGACTTATAGTGGATTCGATGTTTGAGCCGACGTGTCGTCCGACGATGGTTTCAATACAATGACGCATCTAAAACTAAAAATTCAACTTGGCTTTAAAAGATAGGAGTTTAGAAATCAAAAAATAAGTTGACATAAATAGAACATTTTAGGAAATGAACTTAGAATTAAACCATCATGGTAGTTTTTTTCGAAAATAGCACTTTTTTGTGATTAAATATCTTCCTCGAGGTGTAACCAACTTCTTGCTATAAAATCTCCGAACCAATGCCTATTTTAGGTTCCTAGTTTCTTTAATGCTAGGTAGCAACTCCAAAACCTATAAATAACTCGTAAATAATAATTAACATATAAACTTATATTTTTTTTAGAGTCCCGTCCGACGTCGAGTAGAGACAATAATTATCTATAAATAATAATTTATAATTTATAAAATTATTTTTTAGATTAAATTATTAGTTCAATTTTTTTAAAAAAAAGAATTCTTATTTAAGTTACCAAAATAACAATACTAGGATTACTTAGAATTGTTTTTTACTAAATGTGAATATTGACTCGATTTTGTCTCAAGTAATTTTGATGAATTGGTTTGATGGTTAAAAAAATATATATATTATTTTTTAAATTAAAATTTTAGAGTCAATATTTATGAAAATTTATTAAAATTTTCTAAATGTATCTTATATTGTGAAATTATGAATATGTCTTTTTGAAATTTTCTCAAAACTTGTTGATGTAACAATCATATACTTGTTTTTGTATTTTAATTTTACGTATCAAACAAACATTGTAATTGCCAAACGGCATAAAATATTATTTTGAAAAATAATTTTTTTGAAAAATAGCATCTTCATGAATTGATTTTCTTATGAAAGTTGTTTTTCGCAAAACAAATGGAGACTCGGTACCAAATCATGTAATTTGAAACACAAACTATTGGTGTTTGAGCAAAATTGATCCAATTTTTTTAATTGTCGTTATATGTAATGGTTAACTAAGTTGATCGTTACTTAGAATGCCAAAACAATATTGTTCGACATTCCGATAAAATTATGTTTTTTTAAAAAAAAGTTTAAAAATATTTTTAACCTTCCTAATCTTGAACTTAAAAAAAAAAAACCCTTTTTTTCTTATATAATATTTTATAAATTATATATAAAAAAAACATTTTATAAATACTTTTAACTCCCTAATTTTGAATTTTTTAAAACTTTTTTTTATTAAACATTCTAAACATTTTATAAAAAAATATTTTTTAATAATTTATAAAATCAGGAGTAAATCCTTAATTATGCTAATTTTAATTGATAAAATATATTTTTTTAAAGCCTGAATGGAATTAATTTTAATTTATAATATTCAATGAGCATTAAAATGTTTATAATGTAAGAGTACCAAACTGCATTTCAAGTGTAAATGAATGGGATTAATACATTATTCAACTATTAAGCTATGTGATTTACAAGGCTTTTCATAATCGTTTTTCACTTGATATAAGAGTACCCTTCATCAATGGCCGATGAGATTTACCTGGACAACAATATTAATGATTTGCATCATATTAACTCACCTACTCCCATATATTTAAAAAGGATATGGGTCATAAATGGGTCAATACAAATTAAATAATTGAAACGGGTATTAATATGTTAATTCAAAAATACCTTAAGTTAACGAGACGTTTTTTAAGGGATAAATGGTCTAAACGTTCTTTCGACTTTGAAAATTAATCCCTCGACTTTAAATTTTAGATTAGATTTTTGTAATTATTTTTTATTTGAAATTGAATTCTTATGTTAGCTTTGTGTCAATTTGATAGTGAAAGTATACTAATTTGTACATAATTGATTTTTAACTTCTTTTAATCATTAAAAATATATCAAAAGTTATAGATATTTTATTTTTTAAAAAAATTCTAGAAATACCAAACATCCATAAAGTAATTTTTCAATATTTATAATTGAATCAGGATATATATATCCTTTTGACGAAATTTTAGACCAAATTGTTGTAGTTAGTCACTTGATTTGCTTTGATAATGTATTTACAAATCATACAAATAAAAGATTTTTATGTAAAAATAATATGATTAATTTCGGTTGTTTACTCTAAAAATCTTATTCCAAAGATAGATTAAAAACTTAAAAAATTAATTCAATTAAAAATATAAAAATATATTAAAATTTATTTAATCATATAAATATATATATATTGAACTATTAACTAAATAATATATATATTAAGAGAGAGAGAGAGAGAGAGAACTGAAAATCTCTAGGGATGGGATTAGCTGCTCCTAATTTGCAAAACTAGAAAATTCCAGCAAACGCCAGTATCTTGGGTGGCCGTATCCACCTACCAGCGTCACTCTCTAACTCCGTTAACCATCCTAAGAACTCTACCCCATGTCCCATCTCACAAACCGGTCCACATACAAAACGGCCACCTAACACCGTCAAATACCTTTAATTAATTTCGATTCCCAAAACAGAAACAGACAGCAACCGCAACCTTACCGTGTCAACTAGGTCACCACAACCACACGACACGCCAAAAAGACACGCGTCATTAATCCATTGGCTATCCACATCACCGCCTCTCCTTTGCCGTAACAGACTCTGCTTCCTCTCCTCCTATAAAAATCTGCTCCCCCTTCCCTTTTTTTACACAATTGTTTCCTTACACACCTTTTTTCCGTAAACTAATCTAAATTCTCTCTTTGCTGTCCGTTCGATCAAAAAAAAAAAAAAAAAGATGCAGATCTTCGTGAAAACTCTCACCGGCAAGACCATTACTCTCGAGGTGGAGAGTAGTGACACCATCGACAACGTCAAGGCCAAGATTCAAGACAAGGAAGGGATCCCACCAGATCAACAACGTTTGATCTTTGCTGGGAAACAGCTCGAAGATGGCCGGACTTTGGCCGATTACAATATTCAGAAGGAGAGCACCCTCCATCTTGTCCTCCGTCTCCGAGGAGGTATGCAGATCTTCGTGAAAACCTTGACCGGAAAGACCATTACTCTCGAGGTCGAGAGCAGTGACACCATCGACAACGTCAAAGCAAAGATTCAAGACAAGGAGGGAATCCCACCGGATCAGCAGAGGCTGATCTTCGCCGGAAAGCAACTGGAAGACGGCCGGACGCTGGCCGATTACAATATTCAGAAGGAGAGTACCCTTCATCTTGTGCTCAGGCTCCGTGGAGGGATGCAGATCTTTGTGAAGACCTTGACCGGGAAGACAATTACTCTTGAGGTGGAGAGCAGCGACACCATCGACAATGTCAAAGCGAAAATTCAAGACAAGGAGGGTATCCCACCAGACCAGCAAAGGTTGATTTTTGCTGGAAAGCAGCTTGAGGACGGCAGGACTCTAGCGGATTATAATATCCAAAAAGAGTCCACCCTTCATCTTGTGCTGAGGTTGCGTGGAGGGATGCAGATTTTTGTGAAGACCTTAACAGGGAAGACAATCACTCTGGAGGTTGAGAGCAGCGACACCATCGACAATGTTAAGGCAAAAATTCAGGACAAGGAAGGCATCCCACCGGACCAGCAGAGGTTGATCTTTGCTGGGAAGCAGCTGGAAGATGGCCGGACTCTGGCGGATTATAATATCCAGAAGGAGTCCACGCTGCATCTTGTGCTTAGGTTGCGCGGAGGGATGCAAATTTTTGTGAAGACCTTGACGGGGAAGACTATCACTCTGGAGGTGGAGAGCAGTGATACAATCGATAACGTGAAGGCTAAGATTCAAGATAAGGAAGGGATTCCTCCGGATCAGCAAAGGCTGATTTTTGCTGGGAAGCAGTTGGAGGATGGTAGGACCTTGGCTGATTATAATATCCAGAAAGAGTCCACTCTTCACCTGGTCTTGCGTCTTCGTGGTGGTTGCTAAGAATCTTTCTGTTTGTGGCTGTGTTCAATGTTTTATGGTTTTTAAGATGTTATATGTGTGTGTGGCCTTGTCGAGCCATTATCAATGCTGTTTTAAGTTTGGTTTAAATAAAGCTTAGTAATTTCTGTTTTCTACTTGGTTGTGTGGATTGTCATTTATGTTTGTCTCCAGTGTTCTTCTCTATGGGGACAAAAAAAGGGTTCCAAAATTCAGTATTGAGTCTTTAGACTGTGTGTTCTTTGCATAATTTAAAACGGATTGTATTTAGATTTGCGCGTGTTTCTTGGACAAGGAAGTAATAGGTGCTGCATAATTACTACCTCTACAGTACTTTTTCTCTGGTTCTTCGCAGCTTGTTTCTCCCAAATGAGCTTTTCATGTAGCCCGACAGTATCTTATGTTTTTCGCTACTCCGAGTGATGATATATTTCTCCAACTGTCGGATGTATTTCAGTAATCTTAGGTCATTGCCAGGCATCGGTTATGTGTGTTGAGTTGGTTATATTTAAGTTTAATGTGATTCATGTTCATGGTAATTTTTGTCAGATATGGATGAACTGATAAGAGATTGGATTGGAAATTCAGCAATGAGATTTTTTAGACCATGTTGCGAACTTGAAACTGGAAGTTCCGTTCCCAGTTGCTCTAGTACTGTTATAGGAGATACTGTTGTCTTTTAGGTGCTTTGGATCCGTCTTAAATAGACTAGTCTTTCTTGGCGAACTATGATTAGTCTTTGTTGGCGAATTATGAGTCTTGATTGGGTCTGATGAGTTTTGAAATCGGAAGTCTTGGCATGCTAAGTTCATGCCAAAGAAAATTAAGCATCCGAATCATATTTAGCCAAACCTGGCATTTTGATGGCATGATTATACAGTTTAAACAGAGAATCGTCCTCATTAAACTAAGTACTGTTGTCTATGACTCTTTGCAAGGTGGCACAAAATCGACAGGCAAATATCTAAAAAATTTCAGCATCTAAAAGAATTCAGGTTTTACTTTTTATTTTCTTCTTATGCTCTTTCACTTATGTTAATTTATTAATTGACAGTAAAATTTAAGCTAGCTATATTTGAAATTTCAAATGCGTGATCAGTGTTTGGCAGAAAAATGAAGGTTAACATCGATTTTGAAGGTGTAAATCGCCAACTTATAGTGCGAGATGATGCAACTGTTTTAGACCTGAAAATGAAAGTTCAGGAGACATTTGGTTTTCTAGCTACGAACCAAAAACTCTTTATCAACGGTTCGGCAATGGTAGATGATTATAGCAAATTGGTAAGTTATGGAATGGTGGATGGCGCTAATATCAGTTTCCGATTTAAAATCTTGATTCAAGGACAACCAAACCAGTTTGGAAATTCCAAAGAGTATGAGCTATTTGTTGACGGTAGTAACACAGTTCTGAACTTGAAGCAAATGCTTAATTCTGAGTATGGAATTGACATTAGAACAATCAAATTCAAAATGGACAATAATGATAACCTCGATGATAACACTAAAATCTGGAATTATAACATAAAACCTGGTAGTTATTTGCATATGATTTAGCATTTGTAGTGAATTTGTGTGTCAAAAATAAATAGCTATATGATTTGTAGCTATTAGGAGTAAAATGCACCAGCTATAAAGTATGGTGCGAAGTCATTGAATTGAATAAAAGGATGGGTTAGAAGCTTCTTACTTTGCCCTATCATTAGGTTAATTTTTAAGGGTCAAATGTAATGGTAATAAATAATGGGCTTTGTTGGGCCTGTTTTTCAATATTATGAATAAATTTTTTTGAGGAAATTATAAATTAATCTCTATTTATTTCACAGATATCTTTATTTGTTATCAATTTTTCTATATGTTTTACTTAATTTTTTCTACTACTTAAAGAAAAAAATCCAAATAAATTAAAAAAATAAAAAGAATTAAAATAGATTTAAAAATATATAAATTAAATGATTAGTTTTTAAAATAAAAAAATTAATTGATTCATTTCTTGAAATTTAAGTAACTAATTTATAATTTACTAAAAAAATTATGTCAACTAGCGGGTTAAAAAAATTTAATTAAGTCGTTGTTATGAAATAATGATAATGAATGTCCATCATCATGTTCATCCACTTTTCATATCCCCACTACTCATGATTTTTAATATGATTCAATTCATCATTCAATATGAGAAATTGAAAGGGTGATGTAATTGATTATTCATAGTCCTTTTCAATTCTCTACTTAATTTTGAAGCCTATAAATAGGCTTGATTGTTCATTAGTTGATGTACAAGTTTACTTGAGAGAATAAGAGAAACTTTGAAGTTCTTATCATTCATATTCACACTATAGTGATTTCATTTTCTTGTCATCATTTTCTTCAATTCTTCTATCATTTCTATTTATTTTATAACAGTTAAATAATTAGTTTTTTTTTTTTAAAAAAACCATTAATCCAAGAAGATACCAGCTCTCAATTAAAAAAATCCGACTTTGCAACTAAAGCAATATTATACATAGGCCCACCAACAATGATTAAAGCAATCCCATTACTAATTAATTTCCCAAAAATCCAAAACAAAAGTCTTTATCCATGACGTCATCATCCACCATCATGAATCTTCTCAGATAAACCAGTCTCCACCAATAAAAATATTGTTAAGAGTAATTTGGATAGTTTTTTTTTTTAAACACTTGTTCTCCAAAAAATTTTAAAATTTATTATCCCAATTGGTTTGGATAATTCGAATAATTTACTTTTTTTTAATATTACTAAAATGACCTTTCACAATCGTTTCCACTCATTACACCCTTCTTTCAAATTAATTAAAGTCTCCATTACAAGAAAGTTATAGTTGACCATTATCTATGATCAATGACCAATGAAATTTGAGCAACAATATTGGGGAAAGACGTAATGCGATTTTGAGTATTTGAACTTTTCTAATTTTCACAATTAATTGTTTAATTTTTAATTTTGTTTGAATAGGTATCCGATAATTTTATTTTACACAATAAAAGTGTTTAAGTGAATGTCTATATTTGTCAAATGTGGATGTACACCTTAAGTGACGACAAAAACATTACCGTGTAAGATGACATTTAAATAAAAAAAAATATTTTAAATCAAATATTTATTCCTTTTTTATGTAACTTAACATTTAATCTTTTTATAATCTACATTTGAAAATGGAGAAAATAGATAACTACGGGATTGATTTTATAAGTAATTTTTTTATCTACCACTGTAAGAAAATAGGTAGCTAGGGATGAATTTTAGCGACGTATTGTATTTTATCGCTAATTAGTTAATAAACAACAACTAAATGGTGAAGAAATTGAAAATATAATAATTTACGATGGATTTACAATAAAAAATTAACGATGAAAACAATTCCGTCACCATTTTAATATCAACGACGGAATTGAAACAGATTAACAAAGAAATTTAACAACGGAATACTATTTTCATCGCTAAAAACCATCATTTGATTGGCGATGGATTATATATGTCGTTACATTATTTATTCCATCGTTGATTAGTGAGGGAATGTGTTCCATTGCTAATTTCTCAAATTTTTGAAAAGTCTAGAAAATTTAACGCTCATTTAAAATTCAAATTAGTGATGAATATTTATGTTCGTCATTATTGAGCAACGAATTAGTGACGGAATCATGTCTGTCGTTAATCCTAAATCTCTAAAACTTCTAGCCTTTTTCTTTTCCCTCAAAATTCCCACCTGTCCCTCTCCTCGTCTCCTTCTCTCTTGTTGTCGCCCCAACAGCGCCAACCATTGCCACACTCCACTCTCTCCTCAGCCTACTCATTTTAACGTGGCGCTCCTCTCTCTTCAAAGACCATGTTAAAATTATTGCAGCAGTCCCAACCACCACCCCCAACTACCGTCTCACGGTACTCCACTCTCGCTCTAGCCCACTCATTTTGACAAGGCGTCTCTCTCTTTTTAAAAATTATGTTGAAATTATTACAACAGTCTCTTTTCTCTTTCCTCTCCTTTGATTAGTTATCTCTCTTTTATTTTTTTGTTAATTAAAAGATTGTTTCTGTTAGTTGTTAGGTTAATTTTGTTAATTAATAATTTAATTTTATAAATTATTATTGTTAGGTTAAATTTTATATAATTATTAAGATAAAAATTAAATAATTTTTCAACTCCACCGGGAGGGAATTAGTTTGCGTCGGCGGGTCCATCAGGTGCAAATCCTTTCCAATCTATATGCCAATCAAATCTGGCTGGAGGAAGCTTCTCATTGGTTGTTGACAAGTCTGGTAAAAATATTGTCAAAGTCAAAAAACACCCATAGCGCAAGCGGTGAAGAGACCACAGTAATTTTTTTTTTAAACAGAAGGTATATATAGATCTCAGACTATATAATAAAGGATAGCTCTCCCAAGTCATATAATTATATAAAAAATTAAAATTAAAATTTTATTTTACCGATGCACAACCGCTGTACTAAACTTAATTTGGTGTGGCTTTTCCATCATTAATTTCACAAAAAAAGTACTAACATTGTCAGGAAACTTTTTTTATTTATTACTCATGCTTTTTTGAATCGATGTTTTTGGACAGTATTACTCATTAAATTACAAATAAATTTAAAAATATTATTAGTTTTTAAAACAAAAAAATTAATTAGTTTAAAAATTCACCATAGCCCCATACAGGTTCGGTTCTAGCTTAAAAAAACTTGGGTGTGCCCTTAAACCGAGTAATGAACTCAGATAGATTCTCAATTTTGCCTATCGATGAATAATCGTGTCGAGTTTATTCTTTTATTCTTTTCTTTTCTTTTCTTTTCTTTTTTGCAAGTATCTTCTCACTATTAATTTTGCCAATATAAATGAATAATTGGCGCACTGAATTTACCTAACAGTTTTTTCTACTGGTGGGTGTGAGTACGTTCATTGTAAAAGAATAAATTTTAAGTTAATCCCTCTAGTTCTAAGAAACAAATTAATTAATTCTTCTTATTTTAAAAGTTATTATTTAAATTTTTAATCAGTGTTAATTATGATTAATTTAATATTTTTTTATTTTATAAAATATTTTTTTCTCATTCATTTTTTCATTTTTTTTAATTTTTTCTATTACTTAATACAAAAAATCTAAATAAATTGAAAAAAAAACCTAAGATACAAGTAGATTTAAAAATTTAATGATTAGTTCTTTAAATGAGAAAAACTAATTAATTTATTTTTCAAAACAAGAGGGACTAATTTGTAATTTACTCCATCTGAAAAAGAGCCATAAAAGAATTACAAAATTAATGAAACGTCATAATTAGTTTTATCATGCTAATTTCATGAAATTTATAACGCTAGCATACAGATCTCTTTGGATTTTATTTCGTACTCCAAAACTCAAGAATATTAGCATGAGGTTAATGGAGGTTTGGCATGCTAAGCTCACGCTATATCTACTACCAAAGACAAGCACCCGAATCATGTTTAACCTAACCTGGCATTTTGATGGCATTTTATTTTCTTCTTATCTGCATGCTCTTTTACGTCCGTTAATTAATTAATTGACAGTAAAATTTAAGCTAGCTAATTTTGTTTGGCAGAAAAATGAAGGTTAACATTTATTTTGAAGGTGTAGATCATCAATTTACAGTGGAAGATGACGCAGCAGTTTTAGACCTGAAATTGCAGGTTCAAGAGGAACTTGGATTTCTAGCTACGAACCAAAGACTCTTTATCAATGGTTCAACATTACTATATGATTACGACAAACTGGTAAGTTATGGAATTATGGACGAAACTAATATCACTTCTCGCTATAAAATCTCGGTTCATGGGAAACCAAACCGGCTTGGAAAATCCAAAGAGTATGAGCTATGTGTGCACGATAGTAATACAATTCTGAACTTGAAGCAGATGCTTAATTATGACCATGGAATTGACATTAAAACAATCAAATTCAAAATGGGCAATAATTATAAATTTGATGATAACACTCAAATCTGGAATTATAACATAAAACCTGGCTGTCACTTACGTATGATTTAAAATCATACGAGGTGAGTTTGTCTGTCAGAAATAAATAGCTATTTTATTTATAGCTAGTGGGAGTAAAATGCATTAGCTGTGCAAAGTCATTGAATTGAATAAAAAGGATGGGTTAGTAGCTTCTTCCTTTGTCCATCGTCAGCTTAGTTGTTAAGGGTCAATTGTATTGCTAATAAATAATTGGTTTTGTTCGGCCTGTTTTTCAATATCATGAATAAATTTTTTTTGAATAAATTATAATTAGTCCTTTTAGTTTTGTACAAAACGAATTAATTAATTTCATTTGTTTCAAAAACTAATTATCTATTTTTAATCAATATTGAACATACTTAATTTAATATTATTTTATTTAATAAATATTTTGGTTTCTTGTTAACTTTTACTTAATTTTTTATTTTTTAAACAGAAAATTAAAATAAAATAAATAATTTTTAAGAAAAATTGAATTAATAAATTTATTTCTTGAAACTAAAGTAATTAATTTATAATTTACTAAAGAAAATCTACTGGCTGATTTAAGCTGTTAATTTTTTTAA